ACACACTCTCTCTCTCTCCCTCTCTATTAATATCCACTCACTATAATCATTTATTTCACTATCCATAAAACATATTATAAAACTTCTGTTTTCATTTACTTTATCTTCCACTTTTTTATATTTAAATCTAATTCATTTTTATTTTCCCATATGTAACTCAATATCTTTGTCACTAGTTTACCTTAATTTATTATTATTTCACCATTAATATAATCAAACCCAATTTAAGTTAATAGGCCAATTCAAAAGCGAAGTAGCTTGTTCAGTTAAGTCTTACCCGAAGGCAGTCGTTGTAATAATGGTTACTGTAACCAATGTATTTCCTCAGGTGCTTCGTCAGGACTGAAGACGAAGGCATAGGGTAACTGGCGGCAAATGTATGTTGAAGGATGTCAGAGGGCGGGTGTTCGAGCCTCTTAGTGCCCAGCGTGAGTGAAAATATATTGAAGTACTCAATAGGTAATCCCTAAGAATATAAGGAGAGCGATGCAACTTTCCCGAGCGTGAAGGCTAATATCTTCAAATATCTATCTATAATCTATATCTATCTATCTATAATATCTTCATGTAACTTATCCCCCGCCCCCAAAAGGTGAGAGTAGGTATGGCAGCTGTGACTGCAATGAACATTAATATCAATAGATACAGGCGCCTGAACCGTTCCCTGTAATACAGTGTTGCCACTTTCAACACCTGTAACCCCATTTACAAAAGGCCGTCACACCTGTTACATAGCTGCCGCTCACGCCTGGTAATCCTTGCGGAAGTTGCTCTGCATACATATATATACCGCTGTCGCGTGTTGCGCTTTGTTTCAGTCTGCTGTTCACCCTCGCTCGCGTCACTTGGCGCCAAAATACTCCACTCCTGAACGCCGCGCAATGTTTACGCGCGGAATGTTTTGATTTGCGAGATCGTTGAATGGGCGACGGCGCTAATTCTCCTTCCCCGTCCAGACATCGTAAGAGACGCCACCGCTACATATTCACAGCGACGCCCTCACTCACCGCCTCATTGATGGTGCATCAATGTCTAATGCAACAGCGACATTAGAACCATAGAGCGGTCGTCATGGGGACGATACATTTTATTCTTCTAGTAAGTCAATAGAGTTTTAGTGATCGTATGCATTGAAATACATCTATTACGTTGCATGTTACTTTGATAATAGATTGCGATAGGCGATTAAACATGGCACATAGAGAAAAATGAATCACAATAACCATGGATTGTCCTTAATAACGATGGTTTGTGGCAAAACAACGATGAATTATGAGAGCTAACAATGAATCCCAATGGATTATAACTTATAATAATAATATAATAACCATTGTAATAATTCCATTCCATTCCATTCCAAATATAATCCATTGTGATAATAACTTATCACAATGGATTATAACAGATGGCAATGTATAATGAATGACAACAATGGATTGTGACTAATGAGTGTAATTATAACAGACGACGATATATAATGAGAAAGGACTACAATATATGACCATGGATTATGATATATAACAATGGATTGACAGGGATCTATGGATTATGCCAGATGAAGGATTATACGAGCTAGGACACTAATGGATTATATCATGATAACTATGGATTAAGACAATGGATAATGTTAAATAATGATTGACCTGGATAACGACAATGACAATCATAATAAATTAACAATTAATATATTTTCAAAACTAAATCCATAATGGTGACATTAATAATAATAATAAATGCAAAAATACAACTAATAAAACAGTATTAATTAATCAACGTTAAAAACAGGATGCTAAAATAATTATTTTTTTTAACTCGTTCATAACAAAAGATATTATTACTTTCTCTATATAAATTGTGCTATATAGCTATATAGCACAATTTACAGCCAAAGTTCGGAATAAGTTCAATTGTAGGCTCGCCTAACCACTTGGGGTGGACGGTAGAGCGACGGTCTCGCTTCATGCAGGTCGGCGTTCAATCCCCCCTGACCGTCCAAGTGCTTGGGCACCATTCCTTCCCTCCGTCCCATCCTAAATCCTTATCCTGATCCCTTACATGCACGATAAAATAGTAATGTCTTGGTGCTTTCTCCTGATGAATATATCTTATCTTCCTTTGTATGATATCAATTGCAATGAAAATTTGCCATTAAATCAGGTTTAGGTATTTTTTTTAATTCAAGCCTGTGAGAATGTTTTAAAACTAGTTTAGTAATGCATTTTATTTACTTTCACTCTGTACGCAATGTTTATATTATAGAAAGCTGAGCATTTTGTCGTAATTTAATTGATTGCATCGTAATTTTTGATGTAATTTAGACAGCAGTTAAATTAGTAATGTTTCTTACCAGAGTTATAAATTTACTGAGTTAAATGTAATACTCCGATTAGTAAATATTTGTGTTGCTACACATTGTGGATATTTGGAATGTGTTTGGAATTGTTGTTGTTGTTGTTATAGATTCAGCTACTCGGAACAAGTTTCAAGTAGCACGGGCTATGGTGAGCCCGTAACTTACCTGGCACAGGAGCGGGTCAAGAAGCACGGGCTATGGTTAGCCTGGCTGTGTTTGGAAAAATGTTGCTGTGTTTGTAGTGTGGGTGTAGTGTTTGTGTGTGGTGTGTGTGGGTGTGGTGTGTGGGTGTGGTGTGTGGGTGTGGTGTGTGTGTGTGGTGTGTGGGTGTGGTGTGTGTGTGTGTGTGGTGTGTGGGTGTGGTGTGTGGGTGTGGAGGTCTGGTCTGAGTGTGTGGTGTGATATCAACCCATACATCATTCTCTATCCAACTTTAAGAGGTTTCTGACCTCCCTCCATGTTCCTGATCTCCGACTTCACATTCTCAAACTCACAACTACATTACTTTGCAGTTGCTCAAGTTAAATTCTAGTAGCCACTTACTGAAGTTATTGGCTAGTCCAAGTTCTCCTGTAGTCTCTTGACGTATTATTCTCCTCTTAATTGTTCCATCATCAGTAAACATTGATAGGGTGAAATCTCTCCGCTCGGAGAGATTATTAACATTAGGAATAAGATAGCCACTTGAAGTGACCTCGGTGGAACTGGCATCTTACATGATTTCTTAACATCTTCTCCGCCACCTTTCATTGTAAGCAAGTAAAGGACGCTAATTTATAGTTCAGTGACTCAAGCTTTAATTCTCCTGTTCGTATGTTGTCACTACATTGGCTCTTATCTGACTTTCTAGTAGTTTTTGTTCACTATCTAGTGACGTTATAAATCATATTATGTAGTTAGCACGGAGACTCGTCTTCCTCAGTCCCCCACGACGATGTTGTTGTTGTTATAGATTCAGCTACTCGGAACAAGTTCTAAGTAGCACGGGCTATGGTGAGCCCGTAACTTACCTGGCACAGGAGCGGGGCAAGTAACACGAGCAACGTTGAGCCCGTAGTGGATTTACCTGGCACAGGAGCGGTGCTCATGGCCCCACGACGTTGTTGTTGTTAAAGATTTAGCTACTCAGGACGAAGTGTCCATGTAGCACGGGCTATGGTGAGCCCGTAACCCCACGACGAGCTCCTTACTCGTTGTATGGTGGTGGGACGAGCACCTCTCCAGTGCTCATTACTTTTACACCTTTCCTCTCATCTCAAGCATTTTCCCCTATTGTGAAAACTATTTAGAATCTCGTGTTTCCTAACACTTCACAGAGTCACAGCCCCGCTCCTGTGTCAGGTATAAGTCCACTACGGGCTCACCATAGACCGTGCTACTTGCAACTTTGTCTTCAGAGTAGTTGAATTTAAAATATCAACAATTTAACAATTTGTTCATCCTTGGATGGGTCATTAAGGGACGGCCTCGCATCTTGCAGGGTCGGAATTTGATACACGATGACCTAAGCGGTTGGGCACCATTCCTGTGTTTCGACTTCACATCCCAGTTCCTACCCCCCTGTCCTTATATTCCTTCAAAGTGTGAGTCACACTGGCTTTTCGCTTTCTCAGGATAATAAACCCTGTATGTTGTGATCATGTCTCCTCTTGAGATACGAAGTTAAATTCTCCCTTTTGTACTCTTTCAAATTAAGATAAAGCTATGGGACAAACATTTGAGCTTAGTTCGATGTTTTTCTGTGGAGGTGGTGAGCAGGTTTGTGTAAGGGGTTACCTTGAGTTACCTTGAGGTGCTTCCGGGGCTTAGCGTCCCCGCGGCCCGGTCGTCGACCAGGCCTCCTGGTTGCTGGACTGATCAACCAGGCTGTTGGACGCGGCTGCTCGCAGCCTGACGTATGAGTCACAGCCTGGTTGATCAGGTATCCTTTGGAGGTGCTTATCCAGTTCTCTCTTGAACACTGTGAGGGGATCATCACACAATAGGGTGTGTGATGAGTTTGTGTGGAGGGAGAGAGAGTATGTATTTTGTGTGTGTGTTAACTATTTGTGCCCACAGGATGTTAGCTCTTGGCCCCCCCCACCGACTCTCGATCTATTTTTCCTATATTATATCTATTATATATATATGTCTTTTCTCTTTCTCACACACACACACACACACACACAGGATGCAGCCAATATCATTTGTCTAACTTTCGGGTACTTACTTACTCCTAGGCGAACAGGTGCATCAGATGGAAGAAACTCTGGACATTTGTTTTTTGCCTTGATCGGGAATCGAACTCGGGTCCATAGGAATACGAACCCAGAGCGCGCGCGTGTGCGTGTGTGTGTAGTCAGCTTGAGTCAGGTGGTGCGAGCAAGCCTTGGACGTGTTATGCTGCCCAACAGCTTCCGGTCTAGGTGACAACAGCTCAACACCGCCCCGGGCCTGACACACACCACCAAACTCATCCAAGCCAACTATACACAGCCTCTTTAAACACAGAAATACATACAAGCAAGTAGATCTAACTCTTCCCAAAACCATACAAATATTTACGAATTTGATGGGAATATTTACATATATATATATATATATATATATATATTATATATATAAATAATGCCTACATATAATGTAGTGTTGATTGGTGTTATATTCTTGTACAGTGCGGAATACGTTGCAGGTTGTGACGTCATCAGCGGGTTGGTCACTGACTGAATCGTCTGACTGGAGACCAACAGGTGCCAACAGGTACTTCGTTAGGTAGGTGTGGCCTCCCTCATGTACTCACACCTGTTGATACACCACTCTGGCACCTCTCACACCACTCTGGCACCCCCTCACACCACTCTGGCACTCCTCATACTCCCTTCCTGGCTCCCTCATACCATGATGTGGTGGAGGCAGACTCCAAACACAGTTCCAAATGCAGATATGATTGATCAGGAACCTGTACATCAGTTGATTGACAGTTGAGAGGCAGGACCAAAGAGCCAGAGTTCAACCCCCGCAAGCACAACTAGCTGAGTACCCCCCCCCCCTGGCGCCCACACCCCCCCCCCCCCTGACTCAATAGTAGCAACATGCCCATAAAAAGTGACAAGACCAAACTTCTGAACGACAATTATCCATGAACAGGAAATTGCAAACTCAGCTCACCCTCCGTGTTGGTTAATTACCAAATCACTCATTACACTCCATGACAAGTGTTTCATTCATTTGACAGCGCATATACGCGTCATGTCACCAGATATATGACCTAGTTACTTTTACCTTTTTTGTATGCAATTATAAGGTGATAAATTCACCTTTGTTATGTAAAGCGCATGACAATGTTGTTATGGGGGTGTTATGTCATTCCCACCCACCCCCCCTCTACACCCCCCACGCCTGTCCCCCACCTCCCCTCACCTTCGTGCAGGTTGGTATGTCACATATGCACTTATTAATAAGCCAATATTGGCTATAAGCAAGTGCGAGAACAGGCTGGCAGGATGTCCTACCCCTCACCTAGAATATCCCCTCCCTCCCCCCATCTTTCGTGTGGGATCCCCCCCTCGCGCAGGAAGTCCCCCCCTCCCCCCCCCACCACCACACACGTGCGGCGCCAGGTGTGACGTAAGGGGGCACTGTTATAATAACATGACGAGGCTGGGAGATAAGTCACGTGTGCCCAGCAGCCTGGTGATTGACTGTACAAATATGACTACCTGTGAGTCAGCCCCCGGGCAGCCTCTCCATATATGTACTTGGTAGTTACTGCTGTATAGTAATTTGTTGCTCACAGCCCCGCTCCTGCGTTAGGGAAGTCCACTACGGGCTCACCATAGCCCGTGCTACTTGCAACTTCTTGTTCCGAGGAGCTGAATCTAAAATAACAACACCAACAATTGCTGTACACTGCCAACCACCCTCTCACTACTAACCACTAACCCACTACCACTACTCACAAGCCGGAATTGTTTGGGGTTGAGCTTAATGCCAATCAACCTCTATTCTAGACTATAGCCGGGCCAGATTCACGAAGCAGTTACGCAAGTACTTACGAACGTGTACATCTTTCCTCAATCTTTGACGGCTTAGGTTACATTTATTAAACAGTTTACAAGCATGAAAACTTCTCAATCAACTGTTGTTATTGTTATAAACAGCCTCCTGGTGCTTCGGAGCTCATTAACTGTTTAGTTATTGTAAACAAAGCCGCCAAAGATTGAGAAAAGATGTGCCGGTTCGTAAGTGCTTGCGTAACTGCTTTGTGAATGGTTATTAAGCAATAGTTTTTTGTTTACACACACACACACACACACACATATATATATATATATATATATATATATATATATATATATATATATATATATATATATATATATATATATATATATATATGTGCGAACAAGCCTGAATGGTCCCCAGGCCTATATGCAACTGAAAACTCACACCCCAGAAGTGACTCGAACCCATACTGCCAGGAGCACACTGCTGGCGTACAGGATCCCTTAACCGTTCGACCAACACGACCGGACAAAAGAGGATAGTAGCCGAGGCTATTTCCATCTCCCCGCCGGCACTCGGTTGGTAATTTGTCCTCTTTTGTCCGGTCGTGTTGGTCGAACGGTTAAGGGATCCTGTATCTAAGTATTACTGAGAATTACCCTCATATGTATGATCTACAGCACAGCACATTAATAGTAATGTTTGCATGAAATTTTGCATGTGAAAAGCAGCATTATACCAAATATACATAACAATGTATACATTTTATAGTGTAATATGTCATATTAAATGATTAGCATTACGAAACAAATATTTCAGTCTACCATCAAAGTCAGCTGGAGGATATAGGTGCTCTACTTTTAACTGCGCTTGGAAAATAGAGAAAACGAAACCCAAGGCACAGACTGCTCTACACGGGGGCTTCGACAGGTCACCCAAACAACTCCACAAAGTGAGTGAAATATATATATATATATATATATATGCTTTTGTTGCTTCTGTTTGAGTATATGTGACTAGTTCTAGGACTATCTGTATCGAGAAGATATCTATGTGTGTGTGGTGCAATATCTGAAAATTGGTTATAACACAAGTGGTTATAATGTAGTGGACTTTTTAACTTACAAGATGAACTCTCAAATAAAATAAAAATAAAACTAGTGACCGAGGAATAAAATGAGAAATTGGAGCAAATGTGAGAGTAAATACATTTGTTATATATGTTAGTAATAAAGCAAGGTGGTGATAATGAGAAATTATAGTTTAGTTATATTTCTAGAAAGTAAAATAGTAGTAATTTAGCAGAGCCAGGCGACGCAATATGGCGAGGAAATAAAGTGCTTCATTGTTTTACTACTGAATAAAGTATAGGTTGAGCAATATGCATTAAGGACAGTCTATGGGAGGAGAGTACAAATATAGTTATGCAGCCTCATATATAATTCCCCATAAGCCAACTTCTGACCTTACCCAGGACGCAACCCACAACAGCTGCCTAACTCCAAGGCATTTTCAAGTTCGGTGAACAAACACATTAGTTAAAAAGGAAACGCGCCCAACCGTTTCTGTCCTGCCGCCGTGGATTAAACCCGCGTCACTCAATTGTGAGCTGAGGACGTAGACCACTGTACTACAGTGATTCTTTGTACTTGTACAAGTACAAGTGTACTTAGCCGGGGACAGGAAGCCGTTACATGGTTTGTCGAGGCTCCCGTCACCAAGCAGCTGCCTTATTACTTATTGTTATGACCTAATGGTGCTTTATGGACTTGAGGGAGCCTTGTATATGTCAGTGGCAGCTCTTAAGTATGGAGAGTGCTTGAGAACTGGGTACCTGGACGCAGTTAAATAAGTCTGGTATATTTTCAGGTGAAGGAAGTAAAGCGGCCGTGGTCTACGTACTCAGGCGGTGGATATGGACACCTTAGTCGCCTGCGTCCGGTAAAGACATTTTCTGCTCCTTCGAGACCTGTCTCACAACCCCAGGGATACCATGCTCCATCTTCGAGACCTGTCTCACAACCCCAGGGATACCATGCCCCATCTTCGAGACCTGCCACTCAATCTCAGGGATACCATGCCCCATCTTCGAGACCTGCCACACAATCCCAGGGATACCATGCCCCATCTTCGAGACCTGCCACACAATCCCAGGGATACGAAGCCCCATCTTCGAGACCTGCCACACAATCTCAGGGATACCATGCCCCATCTTCGAGACCTGCCACACAATCTCAGGGATACCAAGCCCCATCTTCGAGACCTGACACACAGTCTCAGGGATACCATGCCCCATCTTCGAGAACTGCTACACAATCCCAGGGATACCAAGCCCCATCTTCGAGACCTACCTCACAGTCTCAGGGATACCAAGCCCCATCTTCGAGAACTGCTACACAATCCCAGGGATACCAAGCCCCATCTTCGAGACCTGCCACACAATCCCAGGGATACCAAGCCCCATCTTCGAGACCTGCCACACAATCACAGGGATACGAAGCCCCATCTTCAAGATCTGCCACACAATCCGAGAGATTTGAAGCCCCATCTTCGAGACCTGCCACACAATCCCAGGGATACCAAGCCCCATCTTCGAGAACTGCCACACAATCCCAAAGATTCGAAGTCCCATCTTCATTTTTAACAGACTCGTCTACATCTTATGAGTCCCTCCATCCAAGAGTTTCTTCATCTGTTCTGACTTCTGATCCGTCTTCGGATCGCCATTCTTCCTATACCCAGACATCGTCTCTTAATTCTTTCTTACCGTCCTCCTCTCTTAACCTCTCATCATCGTCGAAGTCTCCTGGAAGTAGGTATCAGAGAGCTTCCCCTCCTCTACCACTTCCGCCATATTTATCCCGTTTTCTGAATTTACAGACAACAGGTCGCTCACCCCCCACTGTTGTTTCCCTTGCCAGGCAACATGAGTATCCTTCTTCAACGCCTCTATCAACGCAGCAGAGTCCCAGGGATAGTGTATCCATCCCAAGGAGCTCCCTATCCACAGTCAACTCTCAACTGGTCCAGAGTCTACCTGCTATACGTCTCCCATTAGAGAAAACGGGCACCTTTTTGTCTTCTGATGACCCGACCGACGCTGCTGTGTATTCACTTCTTTCTTCCAATGATACTCTTCTGGCGTTTCTAACCCCATCCCATATAAAGTCAGCAATATCTTCCTCCCTCCCCTCACCACTTCGAACACCGGATTCCTCAACAGATTCAAGTGAAGGAACTCTACCCTATCCACCCTCAGCCCTCGCTTCTTACTTTAACTATCCTTTCCAGCTTCTCAATATTTCTTCTCTATCGGAAATTCCCTCTCGCTTGTCAGTAGGCTCTTTCCCCTTTCGCGTCTCAGCTTCCCAGACAGGAGAAGATGCTGGCCGATCGGGATCTAAATCACAAGGTGCGGCCGAGAGTAATACAAAGACTTCTTCCGCCAACGATGAACTTATTTCTGCCATTGCTAATCTTCTTCTTCGTGAGAAAATGAACGAAATGAGAGAGAATGCAATGCTGAAAGAAAGTCCGATGAACTTCATGCCAGACATTGAACAAACAGCTACTGCCAATGAGTCAAAATCACCAAAGATGACTTCTGATGGCTATGATGCCAGCCTGAACTCAACTGATAGACTGGTAACTGGTACAGAATGGATGAAATTTATTACAAAACATTTAAAGCCCATTTCCAATGGCATGAAAAAGACAGAAGAATCGTCCAAAGACCACGATGACTTCCCATTTAATGTCCTATTGGGAACAAATATGATGTCTAAGTTGGCCTCACGAATTCGTCCTGAAGAGGACGACGAGAAAACCTTAACACCACAAATCTCAGACATAGAGAAAATGGCCAGGAAAGAAAATTCTCAACAGGAAATGCCACGATTCTCCCAAGCAGACGTTCTCAACTCCAACTTGGGTGAAAATAACGTCTTTCAACTTTTCAAGCCGATAATTCCAGCCCGAAATGTAAATGACAAGGAGGACGAACTTAAGAAAACTGTGGAGAAGAAAGACTCCTGGCTGACAGCGGAAGTTGATCTCGGACCAATGGGGATCCTCACCTTGGAAATTGGTGATTACCTCAGTGATCAAATGTACTTAGACGTTGACATCAACGCTCGCGAACAACCTGCAGCTAACAACGCCTCCAACAATAATAGCGAATTTGACTCATTGATCAGTAAAGACACGTTAATGGACGCGTTAAGCGTGCTCAAAGGTACTGGGCAAGGGCTCTCAGAATCTAATCTCAGTCAAGGAAATATTGACAAGCTAAGGTCATGGCTGAATAGGGTCACTGGCCACACCCAGGCTGGCCATACAGAGAGTGTTCTTAGCCAGGACGAGACACCCAACCCGCCTTTCCAGGTCCATCTTAGCTTCTCCTCACCAGTCAACAAAACCATGCTGGTCAAACTCTCAAACATCCTCAAGACGAACACCTCCGGCGCCAGCAGCCCCAACCTCGTCAAACCTCTTATAAATCTTAACGTGACGTCCGGGAGAGTAGCGGCGAAGGCCAACTCCTCAGACGCCGCCAAGCGGTCACGTCTAACACAAGCTTACTACTACTATCATCGTCTCGGGCAGCAAGCGCAGTCTCAGGAGCGTAACCGAATGGGTTTCTTAAGTGACGAGAGCCTCAGTAATCAACTTAAACAAGAAAGGTCCCCTCAAGACGATGCAAGTGGAGTAATCAATCTTTGGAAAGTCATCCCGACGCTCAATTTAAACTTTGACAACGAGACCAGGAACTCGCTGTACAACGAGAGTTCACTGCGGAGCTTCATGAAGAATGCCATATCATTCTGGAACTCGGCCTTGAGGCAGGTGGACTCAGGAGACCAGGACCGAGACGTAACCCAGCATCGTACTGGCCACCGCCCACCTCTGCCACCCCATGAACTAACAGCGCCTCCAGGGGCCAGAGAGAATTCCCTTGGACCTCAAGTTGGGCCACTGGAAGCCTACACAAGGCCACTGGAAGCCTACACAAGGCCACTGGAAGCCTACGCAAGACCACTGGAAGCACCCGTGAGCCCACTGGAAGCATACATAGACCCACTGGACAAACTCATAAAGCCCTTAGAAGCATTTATAAATCAATCAAGAACCCACGTCAACTTCCTGATCGAAAAGAATCGACTTGCAAAAGCATACTCCAACTCGTCGAAGACACAACCCACACCCGCTGCAACGAACACCGAGTCACCCATCCCGTCTATACCGCCACAAGCGATCTATGGCGACAATCCAGCGGCTAGACCGAACGCTTCGACGGTAAATCATCCGAGAAACCTCCGTGACTTAGCAGTTGCGTATCCCTACCACCTCCCTCCTTCGGCTCCCAGCGAGGACCAGCTGCTGGCGTGGATGTTGCATGGGATGAAGGCTGATAGAGATCTCAGAGGAGATGGTGCACAGATTGGTAGAGATAGGGGTGGGGATCAGCAGGCTGTCTGGGATAGGAACAGGGAACAGCAGGCTATCTGGGATAGGAACAGGGAACAGCAGGCTATCTGGGATAGGAACAGGAATCAGCAGGGTGTCTGGGATAGGAACAGGGAACAGCAGACAATATGGGATAGGAACAGGAATCAGCAGGCTATCTGGGATAGGAACAGGGAACAGCAGGCTATATGGGATAGTAACAGGGATCAGCAGGCTGCCTGGGATAGGAACAAGGAGCACCAGGTTGACTGGGATAGTAACAGGGATCAACAGGCTGTCTGGGATAGAAGCAAGGATCAGAATGCTGCCTGGCATAGAAACAGGGATCAACAGGCTGCTTGGGATAGAAACATGAATCAACAGACTGCCTGGGATAGAAACAGGGATCATCAGGCTGCCTGGGATAGAAACAGGGATCAACAGACTGCCTGGGATAGGAACAGGAAACAAGAGGGTGTCCTGGATCGAAACAGAAATGATCCTTGGGATACAGGCAGGGATAATAACTATTCCAGAGATAGGAACAGAGATAATAAAGCAGCCTTGGATAAGAACACTGAACAACTGGCTATCTTGGATAGAGAGATGAAACAACAAGCTATCTGGAACAGAAATATACCGCACCAGGTTATCTTGGATTGGACAAAAGAGCAACAGGCTATATGGGATAGGGAAAGACACCGAGGTAGTGTAGGGGAAGGTAGAGGTGATCGCCGAGCTGACGGGGAAAGAAGGCGAGATTTTGAAGGCAAAAGCGGAAGACTTTATGCAGAAAGAAAGCAAAATAGCCATGTCCCCCCTGCAGGCGGGAAGCGTCTTCAAAGCGGTGGAGACAGCGAGAGTCTCAAGAATGGCAGAGATAAGGAGATTCTCAAGAATGGCAGAGATAAGGAGATTCTCAAGAATGGCGGAGATAGGGAGATTCTCAAGTCTATTATAGAGAGGGAGATTCTAAAGAACGGTGGAGATAAAAGAGATCTCGATAATAGCGGAAATGTAGCAGATTTCAAGAATGGTGGAAAACGGGGTAATCTAACGAATGATAGAAGCATAGATCTCGATAATTATGGAGACAAGGCAAACCTCAAGGGTGATAGAGCGAGAGAAGGAAGGCAAGAAGAGGGAGACAAAAATGATCACAAGGACACTCTGGATGGAAGGGACCATAAGAGTAACATAGACCTGAGCAACTACAGTATATTCATAGACAAACACGAGGCTTACCAGACCCGAAAGGACAGAGCAGGAGATCTGGAGGCTGGAGGTGTCCATGGAGACCAACAGGTATACCAGAACTCACTAGGAGACCCATTTGTTGTGGTGGAGGCTCCTGATCTATCCCGGCACTCTTCAAAGAGCCCTTAGAAGCATTCATAAATCAATCAGAAACACACGTCAACCTCCTGATCGAAAAGAATCAACTTGCCACCACGGAATGTTTGGGAAATTAAACCCAATATTATATTGTACATAAGTAGATATTGCTTTTTTATCTATTGTAAGAGATTAAGAATATAGTAATAGAGGAAATTGTGTAGGACCTATTGGTCCATTAGAGGCAGCTTGTGTATGTCAAACCTTCGGTTGAAACAACACAGCGACCCCACATCAACTGTAATTACCAGAAAATTGCTCTCGAATTCCACATCCTTATTTCCAACCCATTCTCGCTCCCCCCACCACCAAACTCTTTTCTAAAGCTAAACTTATCAAATTGATATACGTTGCTTCATGCCCTATTTTAAGTAGATATTTATAGTTCTGAAATACGATTCCTGTCGTCATAGTCTTTCGTCTATTTCTATGCTGCTATCAAGTCCCTTCTTAATCGTTCTAGAGAGTGCAAATTAAGCTTACCTGATCTACTGTTCATAAGTGAGGTTCCTAATTCCCGGAATTAACTTTGTCATCCTTCTCTTGACAAGTTCAAGAGAATTTATGTCCATAGTACGGTGGCCAAAGCTGTACTGCACAACCTAAATGGTACCTAACAAGACCAAGATAAAGGTGAATAACTTTGAAATCTCTTATTATTAACCTTTTATAAATGTCTCGGCTCACCATTTACTTAAAAAACAAAAATAAATAAATTTGCATTGGTCTTGTGACTTAAGATTGACTGACTAATAATGATTTCCAGTCTCTCTCTCATTCAGATTTGGCAATTTCAACATTATTCAGCTGGCATCTGGTGATTGTTTGCTTCGTGGGTAGAGAATCTTTACATTTTTACATTGTTAATAATATCTGCAGTATTCTGTAAGTGGTTTCGAAAGAATTTTGAGTTCTCATACGAATTTATTTTTGACCCTATTTTATTGTCATCAGCATGTTTCCAAAAGGTTTTGTTTAATGTGAGTTAAAGTCGTTTATATACACTGGATATGTAAGCATGAAAAGACCTAGTTTAACGTATCAGTACCATACATCGCCATACACGGCTATACACAGGGGAATTATATATTTTTCGGTTTACATACACTCGCTTTACTTCAGTTCAATAGATTATTATACTTGCTGGTTGTCAGTATGCGAGCAACAGTTGGCTAGAGGCTTACGGCTCGCGCAGATTAAACAAAAAATATGCTGTTATGGTGAACTTAACCCTCTAGAAGTTGACGTTGCCCAATACCACACCAAAAACAGGACCTCCACCTTCCTAGTCAGTCTTTCATCAGGTACAGGTGTTCTGATGAAAGACTCATTATGTCCAAGTGGTTTCAAATCAACCACTTTGCTAAAGAAATTTCATTACTCTATTGAAATTGAAACTCTAAGGCACCTTGGAATACATTACCAGCCCATCCTCCTAAAATGATAGTACTTATAGCAACAATTTCGTCGAACCAATATGTTCTCTTGGACACACACAAAAGAGTTCATGTTTTGTAATATTAGTTTTATATTGTTAAAGAAAAGTTAAAACAATATTAAAACATATCCAGGCCTAGTGGAGCACGTATATGTACTATATTAGGCCTAAGACAGCATGCATTAATGCTATGAGTGCTTGGACAGGTTATCTTAGGTCTTTAGGTAAATTTCCGATTTTCTAGAATGCCATTTAAGCTGATAAAGTAATTCAAAACATTAACTCTTGGGGTTCAACAGTTCATATTGGTCCGATCGACCAAATAGTTGCCACAAGTACAGTACTATCATTTTAGGATGGGTTGTTCATTACATATACGTATATATTTACATATAGCTAGGACTGTCATAAGTGGGTTGGGTCTGCTACCATGGCACAACCCCTTGGTGCCCACAATGACCCAGGCCCCACTGGGTACCCTATCTAGTCTAATATATATTACACAAACATCCCCAGGATGCAGCTCACGACAGCTGTTTAATTACCAGATACCTATTTCATGCTTGGTGAACAGAAGCATCGGGTAAAAGGAAACGTTGACCAAACGCTTCTGTCCCGCCGCGAGAATTGACGCACGGGCGTCAGTTCGTGTGTACTTGATGTGTCACTATTGTCTGCGTGAGCCCCACGAACATCACGACGAGGTGATGTTCGTGATGTTGACATAGCTCGAGTGCGTGGGGGAGTTGTGTAAGACCCTGGTTTGTGTCTCGGAGAGGCTACAGGATCCAGTAAGTTCAGTAGAACTTCGGTTTCAACTCTTTTTCCATGTCGTAGCTCAGTCGATTAAGGCAGCGTCTGGGATGCTCACAGACGTCGGTTCGAATCCTCGCCACGGCCCTTGTGGATTTGTTCACGAGGTAACAGTGGCGCTTCCTCCCTTACAGCTATGACAAATGATCTACTTATACCATGAAGTTATGGGCGCTTGCATTACGTGTGTGGACATGTTTACGTATTGTAGGGATGGGTCAGCCACAATGGCCACATGTATTATTGTATGTTTATTTTAATTGAATGTTAAGTCATTTCTTACTCAATCTTCATTTTCAACATTCGTCTCTAATGAAGTTCTTTCTTCATTATATTTTCATAAACTTTAAAGCTATGACAAACCTTGTTGACTATTATTAAACTATTTTACTTTAAAAGATGTTAAGTTTCATTTATACCAGGATATACAAAGGATATATTGTGTTCTCGAATCATTTTTAATTTGGGTAGACTTTTGAGTTCACAAATATAATTTACCAAAAATTCATTGGCGGAAAAATGACGCACAAATGAAAATAAACTATCAGAAAATACAATTTTTATTTATTTTGATCAGTATAGCCACGAGTGAGGACCCTGTGCTGGGGGTTCCATAGGGCAAGCAGCTGGTGGTTGAGTACATGTCACTGGAAGCTATTTGTACTGGTATAGCATGAGTTTTAGACACAAATTTTCCTGAGAAGGTGAACCGTTCAGTGAGGATCTATAGAAAGAAGAAATTGAGTGCACTCATAGAAGTTGAATGAAGAAATAACTGAAAATGGAAAGAAGTAATATAACAAGAGATATAAAGATTCATATCTGGTAATTACTTGCGTTTGGAGGAGCAAAATACAAATTTGGAAACTGCAACCTTTACAGCTGTTATTGGCGCTAGTAACATAAATTGTCCTCTTGCTGCTATCTGCTAGTAGACCAAGGACTACCTGCTAGTAGCTTAAGGACTATCTGCTAGCTGTTCATGACTGCTATCTTGTGAGCAGTCATGGACTACTGCAAGGTCCCTTAAGCAGAAAAGAGTTTGAGCCTTTGTGGGTAGCCATAGGGATTTAAACCTATCTTGTCGATGTGGGCAAATGATGACGGGAATGGGTTCATAGGCCTCATAACAGTGATGATGTAAGGATTGTGGGCAACGACAGCTAGGCGTTCAAAGGCCGTCGTGACGTTCCCAATCTCATCCACCTTCGTCGCTAGGCCATATGGGTCGGCGGAGACGGACTCAGTCTTGCCGAAAGGTGTCTCGAGGGTCCTTGAGGTGATGTCTTTCTTTTTTAACGTTGATGCATATCCATAAGGATTCCTGTCAATCTCCCCAGAGGTGCCGAAGCTGGAACCACCCGTTGGTAGTTTGACCACGTGTGTGGAGAAGCCATAGGGATTGAAACGAACTGTTTCCGCCACTTTTTGGTTAAATGAGCTCACAATACCATCTAAGGGCTTTGTGAACTGTTTCTCTATCTTACTGGAGTATCCGTAAGGGTTAACAGGAATGTTACTACTCTGGACGAAAGCCGTTGGTTCAGGTTCAAGTTGTTCTACATGCTCTGAGAACCCATATGGATTTGATGGAATGGAATCAATGCCGCCAAAACTAGATAAATGGGTTAAAGTATAGTAAGGCAAACGTTCAATTTTTGTGGAGTAGCCATAAGGGTTTGCTGGAATGATCTGAACCTCTTCAAAAGTGGATGGTGCTTCTTTCAGTTTTTTATATGTGGAGAATCCATAAGGGTTTGTATTGATACTGTCGACACTCTGAAAGCTAGAAGAGAGTTCCCTCGTTTTCTGTGAGTCTCTTTCTATGTATTCGGAATATCCATATGGGTTGACAGCAATGGTCTCAACGTCTGCAAAGGCTTCTGGTGATACATCTAGTTTCTTTACCTGGTCAGAGAAACCATATGGGTTGCCAGAGATAGCTTCAGTGGTCTGGAAGCCAGAAGTTCTCGTCTTCTGGTAAGTGGTATCTTTGATGAAACTTGAGAAACCATATGGATTACTAAGGACATTATTCACGACTGAGAATGGTGTCGGAGCCTCTAACATAGATTGAACTCTATTCGAGAACCCGTATGGGTTAGTGAGTATTGCTGAAGCCGTTACGAAACTGGATGGCAAATGTTTGGTGGAGCGTGTCTCACGAATAATTTTATCTGAGTAACCATATGGGTTTGCTATAATATACTTGAAAGTTTCAAAGGCAACTGGAGAATGTATTAATTCCTTAACATTTTCAGAGAAACCATAAGGATTTGACTGAATACGGACACTCTTCACAAAACCAGATGATCGCAAGTTTAGAGTATTTGGAAGATTTACAATATATTGCGAAAAACCATATGGATTTCCAGAAATTATTTCGAAGTTTACAAAGCTAGACGGAACTGCATCTAATTTAGTTATTTCTTCTGTTAGTCCATAAGGATTATTTGGAATACTAGTCACTGAAGTGAATGATGATGGCAACTGTCGAGAACCCACCTGTTCCCTCTCTATATTGTTTGAATATCCATAGGGATTAACTGGTATCGTATTTGTTTTCTCAAAACTGCTGGGTACATCATCTAAGGATATAATATTATTGGAAAACCCATAAGGATTGTTAACAATTTCGCCAGATTTGGCAAATCCGCTCTGTATCTCACCGACCCTCTCGTTCCTACTCTCTATGTTATCCGAGAAACCGTAAGGGTTAGTAGCAATGATATTTATGGCTTCAAATACGTGTGGGATCTCCAGAGTTTTAATATACTGTGAATATCCATAAGGATTATCTTTAACAGAAGCGATATTCTCAAAGCCGGATGTCCGTTGATTAGGATTGTGTCTTTCCAGGATGAGCCTTTCTGAGAAGCCGTATGGGTTGTTGGGGATGGTATCAACTTTATAAAATGAACTCGGCTCTGTAATAGTAACAAATTGCTCAGGATATCCATAAGAATTGCTCACAATGGATGAAACAGATCCAAAGCTGGACTTTCTTTCTCGAAGGGGATAAAGACTCTTTTCGATTTTATTACTGAACCCATAAGGATTCTTAGAAACTAATTTCGTTTTTTCAAAACTACCTGGAGTATCCGAAAGGCTCTTCACTTCTTGTAAGAAGCCATAAGGATTTGTTGGGATCCTTAATATAGTTTCAAATCCACTGGCTAGACTACCAGGAATAAATCTTGTAGCTATAACATGCTGAGAATAGCCATATGGATTCCCTGCAATAACATTAACGTTTTCAAAAGCACCAGGTTCTTCCTCGTAAGAAACGACCTGGTCTGAATATCCATATGGGTTGTATGAGACGACCTCAACGGTAGCAAAACTTGATGGGAAGTGTCTGGGTGCAAAGTTTCCCTTTATAATCCTCTCAGAGAAGCCATAAGGATTCTTTGGGATCACGCTAACTCTCTCATAAGCACTCTCTGCCTCACTGAGTCTTCTCACTGCTCCAGAAACATCTTCTGGATTGCCAGACGTTCCATCACTGCTTTCCCATATGGAGAAAGGTTGAGTTGGTTGAGTTGGTTGCTTTCTTATATGGGTCGAGTACCCATATGGATTTTCAGGAATAGAATCAACTGCCGAAAAACTTGTTGTGTGATACCTGGGTATGTGGATGTCTGACTCTACATGCTGAGAAAACCCGTAGGGATTAGTGGGTATTAACTCCAAATTTTCAAACCCAGAGGGAACTTCTGTTCCTCTAAAACCTTCTAGCGCATATCCATATGGATTTGAACGTACAACGTGAACGGTGTTGAATCCACTAATTCTTTCTCCTGCACGATGAGACAATAATTGGATTTGATTAGAATAACCATAAGGATTAACTGATATTAACGCTACTGAAGAAAAGGCTTCTGATGCCTTTCTTAATTCGACTGTATTCTGAGAGAAGCCATATGGATTTGTCAAGATGGGCTTTGTTTGTCCAAAACTACTAACTGTGCTTCCAGTGCTGTAAGTCTTCTTCTCAATATTCTGAGAATATCCATATGGGTTTGAGACAATTATTTTGACGGTTGTAAATGCTTCTGGATAATCTTTAAGCTTCCTAAACTCAGTTGAGTAGCCATAAGGATTACCAGGAATCGATTCTACCCTTTCAAAAAGACTTTTAGCATTCCTGGATGTGCTAGTCTCTTTTCGAATGTGTTCAGAATAGCCGTATGGATTAGACAAAATTACTGGCACAGCCTCAAAAGCCTCTGGCTTATCATTCATACTTTTTATATTATTGGAATATCCATATGGATTTTCTGGAATAATTTCCACTCTCTCAAAGCCGCTACCAAATTCCTTGACTCTGTATATTTCCCTCTTAAAATTCTCAGAATAACCATAAGGGTTTGAAGGTACTGTTTCAATAGTCTTAAAGGCCTCGGGTGTCTCACCGAGTGTCCTAAATTCTGGTGAGAAGCCATATGGATTATCAGCAATTTCTTCTGCTTTATTGAAGCTACTGTCATGTTCCTTTATCTTAAAGCTTTCTGGTTGAAATGTCTCAGTGAAACCATACGGATTCAAAGCAATCTTCGGAACTACTTCAAATGACTCAGACGCTCCATTAAGTTCCTTGAATGTAGTTGAATATCCATAAGGGTTATTAACAATGGTCCCCAGGTTACCAAAGGAACTATAGGCAGATTTTGGTTGGTAGGGTTCTTGCTGGATGTTTTCTGAAAAACCATATGGGTTTGACGAGATGATTGGAGATGGTTCAAAGGCCTCGGGTTTATCACTTAGCCTTTTGATCTCGGTGGAGTACCCATATGGGTTGTTAGGGATGGTCTTCACTTCTTGGAACAAATTATCTGCATGTCTTGGTTTATGAGTTTCTTGCTGGATCTGATCGGAGAACCCGTATGGGTTCGAAGCTACAACGACAACAGCTTCAAAGGCATCAGACCCCTCATTAAGCTTCTGAATATTAGTTGCATACCCATAAGGATTGTCAGAAATAACACCAACGCTCTTGAACAAACTACCAGCACTCCTTGGTCTGTAACTTCCTCTCTGGACGTTCTGTGAATAACCATATGGATTCAAGGCTATTACTGGAACAGGTCCAAAGGCCTCAGACAAATCACTTAATTTCTCGAATCCCGTTCCATACCCATAGGGATCGTTGGGGATTATTTTGACATTTTCGAATCCTCTACCAGCGACCTTCGCCTTGTGGGTCTCCCTTTGAATTTTCTTTGCGTAACCATAGGGATTTGAAGTGATGACCGGACATTCTTGGATTTCTTGGCATTCCTGGAAGACAGATGGAGGTGGCGAGAACTCCACGACTATGGTGGAGATACCATATGGGTTAGAGGCGATGGCTGAGACGGGCTGGAAGCTGGAGGTCAGGTTGAGGGGACTGAAGTGCTTGACGGTTATACGGCCGTCTGGATCATCGCTCACGAACGCTCTAGGCGGTGGCGCTGGGAATCCTGGGATGTCGTACCTGTTGTGGAAAGAGAAGAGTCATTGTTATTCATGATAAATACTACGAGAGAGATGGAGAGAGAGGTACAAATTAACTAGTACTGGCAAAGGGAAACAATATAATCATATTCTGCTTATAAAATAAGTGTCTGTAGAGAATTCTCTCCATACATACTATGAAGATTATCTAAGATGTTGCAGTCTCTTAAGTGAACAAATATTGATGCATGCAATGCTGCGATGAGTGTTGCAATGCCTTTAAACTTCTGTCGAGGCTGAACATTCTCTTTAACAAGTGGTACATTTTATTATGGACTTTGTTTTACACTTTTTTAAACAGTATGAAAAATTTCTTATCAAAATTAGCATAAAATGAGCACATGTTACCTACCGACACACAGCGACTTGAACATTAGATACACGTGATAAAGACAGAGGCTAAGATACCACGTGATAAAGACAGAGGCTAAGATACCACGTGATAAAGACAGAGGCTAAGATACCACGTGATAAAGACAGAGGCTAAGATACCACGTGATAAAGACAGAGGCTAATATACCACGTGATAAAGACAGAGGCTAAGATACCACGTGATAAAGACAGAGGCTAAGATACACGTGATAAAGACAGAGGCTAAGATACCACGTGATAAAGACAGAGGCTAAGATACACGTGATAAAGACAGAGGCTAAGATACCACGTGATAAAGACAGAGGTTAAGCACAGAGCTGTGTGACACCTTTACATCTCACTGAGGCACTCCCAAGACTTCAATGTTGCTTCTCTACAACTAAGTTTGGCTCCCACTCATCCTAAGAGAAATTTACCTCTTCCCAGCTAAATGTAGCATAGACACAGCTAAATGTAGCACAGTCACAGGTAAATGTAGCACAGTAACAGCTAAATGTAGCACAATCACAGCTAAATGTAGCCTAGATGCTGTGTGTATCCTCCCCAAGAGTGACTGACCACAAACACAACACAGGTTTTCAGCCGCTCCGGCTCTCAACAACTTTACGAAACCTTAGAAAAAGTGACCTATAAATACATCGTCTTGGCCGGAAAAATATATTAACCGGGTCTAACACAGCAATATGTAACCGACTCTTGAGGGATAAGCAGTCGTGAATAAGGTGGTCGAGTGGGTAAAACTCATGTCTCCATTGTACTGGGTGGGTGAGTAGGGTGTGTGAATTGGCTTGCTCATCTGTGGGAGCGGGGAGATGGAAGCTGGGGTAGAGAGTCAGGTGTAAGATAAGGGCAGGGGAAGGCTGTATGGAGAACAGGTGGGACTGATTGGTGGAAGAAACAGGTAGGGTGGATCACGGGCTCACTATAGCCCGTGCTACATGGACATTTCGTTCTGAGTAGCTAAATCTAAAGCAACAGGTTGGTGGGAACAGTTACAGCACCGCTCCTGTGTCAGGTAAGTCCACTACGGGCTCGCCAGAGTCCGTGCTACTTGTTACAGCACCGCTCCTGTGTCAGGTAAGTCCACTACGGGCTCGCCAGAGTCCGTGCTACTTGTTACAGCACCGCTCCTGTGTCAGGTAAGTCCACTACGGGCTCGCCAGAGTCCGTGCTACTTGTTACAGCACCGCTCCTGTGTCAGGTAAGTCCACTACGGGCTCACCATAGCCCGTGCTACTTGTTACAGCACCGCTCCTGTGTCAGGTAAGTCCACTACGGGCTCACCATAGCCCGTGCTACTTGTTACAGCACCGCTCCTGTGTCAGGTAAGTCCACTACGGGCTCGCCTTAGCCCGTGCTACTTGCAACTTTTTGTTCCGAGGAGCTGAATCTCTAAAACAAGAAGCGGGTGGAATGGAAAAATTGCGATAGAGCAAAGAGAAGTCGAATAGATGGGAAGAAAAGGATTATGTGTGGGGGAGATGGAGGTTAGAATGGTGTAGGGAGGACGTTGGTGAAGACTGTGAGGGCGGCGGTACACACGCCACAGGTACGAGGCATATAAGAGCCTCCACAGGTACGAGGCACAAGAGCCTCCACAGGTACGAGGCATATAAGAGCCTCCACAGGTACGAGGCACAAGAGCCTCCACAGGTACGAGGCACATAAGAGCCTCCACAGGTGCTAGGCACAAGAGCCTCCACAGGTGCTAGGCACAAGAGCCTCCACAGGTACGAGGCACAAGAGCCTCCACAGGTACGAGGCACATAAGAGCCTCCACAGGTGCTAGGCACAAGAGCCTCCACAGGTGCTAGGCACAAGAGCCTCCACAGGTACGAGGCACAAGAGCCTCCACAGGTACGAGGCACATAAGAGCCTCCACAGGTGCTAGGCACAAGAGCCTCCACAGGTGCTAGGCACAAGAGCCTCCACAGGTACGAGGCACATAAGAGCCTCCACAGGTGCTAGGCACAAGAGCCTCCACAGGTACAAGGTACAAGAGCCTCCACAGGTACGAGGAACAAGAGCCTCCACAGGTGCTAGGCACATAAGAGCCTCCACAGGTGCTAGGTACAAGAGCCTCCACAGGTACGAGGAACAAGAGCCTCCACAGGTACGAGGCACATAAGAGCCTCCACAGGTGCTAGGCACAAGAGCCTCCACAGGTACAAGGTACAAGAGCCTCCACAGGTACAAGGTACAAGAGCCTCCACAGGTACGAGGAACAAGAGCCTCCACAGGTTCGAGGTACAAGAGCCTCCACAGGTACGAGGAACAAGAGCCTCCACAGGTTCGAGGTACAAGAGCCTCCACAGGTACGAGGAACAAGAGCCTCCACAGGTACAAGGCACAAGAGCCTCCATAGCAGCACTTTTTAACCCCTACACAACCACCATCACCGAAGTCATCACCACCACCACCACCACCAGCAGCAGCAGGTGGTGATGGTGGTGATGGTGGTGGTGGTGGTGGCAGCGTGAGCCAGCAGCCAAGGTTAAGGCTCACAGTTCCTGGAACAGCCCCCCAGCTACAACTGCCCCCCCCCCCTGCCCCCCCTTAAAGATAGACACTGGCGCAAACCTGCTTGACAAGTCCTGGGCCGAGTTGTGACCAGACGCTGGCTTGCAGGTCCACGCGATTTATCGCCCCTCTCACCAACCTCATTCAAGCACTTAAAACTGCCCAATTACGAAACACGTACATCTTTCCCCACTTTTGTCGGCTTAGTTACGTCTTAAAATAATGTATAAGTTCCATAAGATCTACGAGGTTGTCTATAACAACAATTGGTTGTGAAGTTACGAAGCGCATAAACTGCTCAAAATTACAGACCAGGCCGCCAATGGCCGTGGAAAGATGTAGAGGTTTCGTAAGAGCTTATGTAAATGTTTGTTGATTCTTCGCATAACTGAGAATTGTTTAATTTTGTGACGTCCTCGGGTACGTTGTGGAGGAGCCGGTGGTGGAGATGTGTGGTGGGGTGAAGGGCCTCCTTGGTGGGGGCCGGGGGGGGGAGGAGGAGTGTCGGGGGGGGGGGCACGGTGGAGGTGATGGGGGTGTTGGGGGGGTGCAGGAGGCAAGTGTAGTGAGGTGTAGGAGGGAGGAAACAGTGGAGTAGAAAGGGAGAAGAATGAGACCAGAGTGAGGCGAGGAATCACGGAGGGAGATGAGAGAGTGAGGGAGTGAGGTGAGAGTGTGAGGGAAGGTGAGAGAGGGAGGGAGGGAGGTGAGAGAGAGAGTGAGGGGGACCAAGGAACAGGTCCCCCCCAGCAAGGAGTCTGGCCATCCACTTCCAGGAATCACTGTTGCCATGCACAACTCCCACAAAAACGTTTGAAGCACACTGTCTTAACCGCCAGTGGGATCTAAATATATGTGTGAACCCTCACTCCATGCTGCATGTGTGTCTCTCACATGTATGCTGCATGTGTGAACCCTCACTCCATGCTGCATGTGTGTCTCTCACATATATGCTGCATGTGTGTCTCTCACATATATGCTGCATGTGTGTCTCTCACATGTATGCTGCATGTGTGTCTCTCACATATATGCTGCATGTGTGTCTCTCACATATATGCTGCATGTGTGTCTCTCACATGTATGCTGCATGTGTGTCTCTCACAATATGCTGCATGTGTGTCTCTCCATATATGCTGCATGTGTGTCTCTCACATGTATGCTGCATGTGTGTCTCTCACATATATGCTGCATGTGTGTCTCTCACATGTATGCTGCATGTGTGTCTCTCACATATATGCTGCATGTGTGTCTCTCACATATATGCTGCATGTGTGTCTCTCACATATATGCTGCATGTGTGTCTCTCACATGTATGCTGCATGTGTGTCTCTCACATATATGCTGCATGTGTGTCTCTCACATATATGCTGCATGTGTGTCTCTCACATATATGTGTGTCTCTCACATATATGTGTGTCTCTCACATATATGTGTGTCTCTCACATATATGTGTGTCTCTCACATATATGTGTGTCTCTCACATATATGTGTGTCTCTCACACCACGCTGCAACCCGTCCTCCATTCCATCCAGCGGTCGACCCCACAGACGCATTCATCAATTTAAACATTCTGTTCATTCAAAACAGAACTTTTCTCAAATATAAATGAATATTATTATATATTAGCATATTGTGCATATTTAGGCCCTAGTTAGGTTAGGTTAGGTTAGGTTAGGTTAGGTTAGGTTAGGTGTTTAGGTTCTGTTGGCGATTATTTGTATTTGTAGTACGTGGGTGAAGCATTTACAGCGTTGTGGTTCGAACAAAAGTCGTCAGTGAAGCACTTGTTCCGGAAGTGTTCGAACATCATCAGTTATAAGTCGTGTGTAAACCGTTTTTCATTCATAAACAGCTGGGGTTTGGCGGGTGCATGGAATGGACTTTGGGTCTTTGCTTATGAGGACGGGTTGGGTCTTGTAGTACAGTTCTGCCTCATTCTCGACTCACAACTGAACATGGGGAGCCCGGGTTCGATTTTTCGAGCGGGTCGGAAATGGTCAGGCACATTTCCTTTCACCTTATGCCTCTGTTCACCTAGCAGTAAGTAGGTCCCCAGGAGTTAGGCAACTGTTGCGGGGTGTCCTCCTGGTGAAGGTCAGTAGTTCGACCTTAGGAGAACCTTAATATTGAACAAGAGAGGTCTGAAGAACTTGCTGAACAAGAGAGGTCTGAAGAACTTGCTGAACAAGAGAGGTCTGAAGAACTTGCTGAACAAGGAGGTCTGAAGAACATGCTGAACAAAACAGGTCTGAAGAACATGCTGAACAAGAGAGGTCTGAAGAACTTGCTGAACAAGGAGGTCTGAAGAACTTGCTGAACAAGAAGGTCTGAAGAACATGCTGAACAAAACAGGTCTGAAGAACATGCTGAACAAGAGAGGTCTGAAGAACATGCTGAACAAAACAGGTCTGAAGAACATGCTGAACAAGAGGTCTGAAGAACATGCTGAACAAGAGGTCTGAAGAACATGCTGAACAAGAGGTCTGAAGAACATGCTGAACAAAACAGGTCTGAAGAACATGCTGAACAAGAGAGGTCTGAAGAATATGCTGAACAAAACAGGTCTGAAGAACATGCTGAACAAACAGGTCTGAAGAACATGCTGAACAAGAGGTCTGAAGAACATGCTGAACAAGAGGTCTGAAGAACATGCTGAACAAAACAGGTCTGAAGAACATGCTGAACAAGACAGGTCTGAAGAACATGCTGAACAAGACAGGTCTGAAGAACATGCTGAACAAAACAGGTCTGAAGAACATGCTGAACAAGACAGGTCTGAAGAACATGCTGAACAAGACAGGTCTGAAGAACATGCTGAACAAAACAGGTCTGAAGAACATGCTGAACAAGACAGGTCTGAAGAACATGCTGAACAAAACAGGTCTGAAGAACATGCTGAACAAAACAGGTCTGAAGAACATGCTGAACAAGAGAGGTCTGAAGAACATGCTGAACAAGAGGTCTGAAGAACATGCTGAACAAGAAAGGTCTGAAGAACATGCTGAACAAGAGGTCTGAAGAACATGCTGAACAAGAGGTCTGAAGAACATGCTGAACAAGAAAGGTCTGAAGAACATGCTGAACAAGAGGTCTGAAGAACATGCTGAACAAGACAGGTCTGAAAGAACTTGCAAAAAAATTTGTGTTTTGGTAGTAAATTGAACACAAAGTACACACGTTTCGACCGCAGCCAATCAGGATAGGCAAGGATAGGGGGGACAGCGCCCCACCCTACACGCCGCCGCCCTGTCCCCGAGCCATCAATGGAATGGACGTTGTATATTCACACAGGAGAGGAGGAGGATGGGTGGGATAGGCCGCCAGCCAGCACTGGGATAGTTGCCCAGATGCAGAGAATAGGATAGATGGTTGGATTTAATCATGGTTAGTCGAGGTTCTCCTGGGCCTACTACTGATATCTTCCCAGGGCGCTACCCGTAACTGCTAGGTGAACAGAGGCATCAGGTGAAAGGAAACGTGTTGTATTATCCCGCTCTCGGATTGAACTTGGGTCCCTCGATTGTGCGTCCAGGATGTAGACCACTGTGTTTTACGAAACCAAATGTGTCCAGGGCCTGGCATGTGTCAGCGTATGTGCCCAGGGCCTTGGCACGTGTCAGGGTATGTGTCCAGGGCCTGGCATGTGTCAGCGTATGTGCCCAGGGCCTTGGCACGGGTCAGGGTATGTGTCCAGGGCCTGGCACGGGTCAGGGTATGTGCCCAGGGCCTTGGCACGGGTCAGGGTATGTGCCCAGGGCCTTGGCACGGGTCAGGGTATGTGTCCAGGGCCTTGGCACGGGTCAGGGTATGTGTCCAGGGCCTGGCACGTGTCAGGGTATGTGTCCAGGGCCTTGGCACGGGTCAGGGTATGTGTCCAGGGCCTGGCATGTGTCCAGGTCCTGGCATGTGTCCAGGGCGGCCAACACCCCCCCCCCCCCACAGGCATGGCATGTGTCCAGGTCCTGGCATGTGTCCAGGGCGGCCAACACCCCCCCCCCCCCCACAGGCAAGTCTGGCAAGCAACCTTTCGTAGGTGAAAATTTAAACAGTAAATTAAACAAAAACAACACCTCGGAAACTTTCACATCTTGAGACAGTTAGGCAAATTGAGTCTGGGTACAGTACTGAGGTACAGAGAGAGAGGGAGAGAGAGAGAGAGAGAGAGAGAGAGAGAGAGAGAGAGAGAGAGAGAGAGAGAGAGAGAGAGAGAGAGAGAGAGAGAGAGAGAGAGAGAGAGAGAGAGAAGAGAGAGAGAGAGAGAGAGAGAGAGAGAGAGAGAAAGCAGCACCAACGTGGGGTTTTCTGTGCATCATGCTGTTTATCAGAGAGCGAGGGGTGGGGGGGATGGAGAAGGTACGGGGTGATGGGGAGGTGTGTGATTTTGGGGGCAGTGTTGGAGCAGGGGAGGTACCACCCCCCCCAACACACACACCCTCACCCCCAACACACACACCATCACCTCCAAAGAGTTCCAGCAACTTTCTCCTCCAAACCTGACATAAATAAGATAATTTTCGCGAGCCCTCTCTCCAACACTCCCCCCCCTTCCTGAAGTGTTGGAGATCCACCTCCCACACTACAGCATTTACGTAATTTGATGAATATGTTCTGTGTGTCTTAGTGCTTACTTCATCTACTTTGTACATAAGCTTAAATATGACAGCTGCAAGAACAGGCTATAAAAAGTTTGCAATAAGGGTTATAATCTTGCAATAATACTAATAATACTCACGTTATTATTGGTGACACGAGCGCCGTTAGTAATATCTGTGAAGAGTATACCAAAATTAGCAAAAATATATTTTTACTACACGAATGACATGGAATACGTTCTATATTTCAAATACGTATTAAACTACTCTATTATTGACAATGTCTTCAGCAAATGTATATTTCACGTGTTAAATGTATATCACACTTTTATGTATCACTTATACACAATACGACAACAAACTAGAGGAGCACTTACAAGGAGACGCATCTCGTCTGACGGTGTGTGAAGATCTGAGAAGGATGCTTCCGTCCGACCCGTCCAGGTCTCCTACGCCCGACACCCGTCCTCTTTACCCAATCACAGGCCATGAGCCTCGCCCAAGTAACCAATCACCAGCCATGAGCCTCCCTCAGCTAACCAATCACCAGCCATGAGCCTCGCACAGCTAACCAGAAACTAGCACATCTGATGTACTCTCACATTTCCTTGCCATGAACTCTCTGAGAATCTTAGCCAATCAGGGCCAGCCTAACATGGCACCTAGACACACCCACCAACCAATGACCGCGGGTTTACAGAACCTAAACAGGAGTAGAGTGACCACGTAACCTCTGATTCCAGGAAAAATTATACTACTTTTTTTCAACGGCTTCCAGGAAGCGGAGTTCACCTGATAACTAGTTACCTTGGCGTGGACACCGATATGTAGAGCGTGTTTACTAGTATATGTGAGTTACAGCCCCGCTCCTGTGCCAGGTAAGTCCACTACGGGCTCACCTTAACCCGTGCTACTAATGGTATATAAGCCAACATTGTTTCAGCGAGGTGAGGTCACTCATAACTGATCGCCTTAGTATTTTAAGACAACCTGTGGGTGGGTGTTGGTCCCATACTCATCCTGTGGGTGGGTGTTGGTCCCATACTCATCCTGTGGGTGGGTGTTGGTCCCATACTCATCCTGTGGGTGGGTGTTGGTCCCATACTCATCCTGTGGGTGGGTGTTGGTCCCATACTCATCCTGTGGGTGGGTGTTGGTCCCATCTCATGCTGTGGGTGGGTGTTGGTCCCCATACTCATCCTGTGGGTGGTTGTTGGTCCCATACTCATCCTGTGGGTGGTTGTTGGTCCCATACTCATCCTGTGGGTGGTTGTTGGTCCCCATACTCATCCTGTGGGTGGGTGTTGGTCCCATACTCATCCTGTGGGTGGGTGTTGGTCCCATACTCATGCTGTGGGTGGTTGTTGGTCCCCATACTCATGCTGTGGGTGGGTGTTGGTCCCCATACTCATCCTGTGGGTGGGTGTTGGTCCCATACTCATCCTGTGGGTGGGTGTTGGTCCCATACTCATCCTGTGGGTGGGTGTTGGTCCCATCTCATGCTGTGGGTGGGTGTTGGTCCCCATACTCATCCTGTGGGTGGGTGTTGGTCCCATACTCATCCTGTGGGTGGGTGTTGGTCCCATACTCATCCTGTGGGTGGTTGTTGGTCCCCATACTCATCCTGTGGGTGGGTGTTGGTCCCATACTCATCCTGTGGGTGGGTGTTGGTCCCATACTCATGCTGTGGGTGGTTGTTGGTCCCCATACTCATGCTGTGGGTGGTTGTTGGTCCCCATACTCATCCTGTGGGTGGGTGTTGGTCCCATACTCATCCTGTGGATGGGTGTTGAACCCATACTCAACCTGTGGGTGGTTGTTGGTCCCATACTCATCCTGTGGGTGGGTGTTGGTCCCATACTCATCCTGTGGGTGGGTGTTGATCCCATACTCATCCTGTGGGTGGGTGTTGGTCCCATACTCATCCTGTGGGTGGGTGTTGGTCCCATACTCATCCTGTGGGTGGGTGTTGGGCCCATACTCATCCTGTGGATGAGTGTTGGTCCCATACTCATCCTGTGGATGAGTGTTGAACCCATACCTTCCACGTGAGCAAAAATGATTGAGAGGCACATATTGGGAAACTGAACCCCAATATTCATTTAGCTAAGGAAGTTACCGTTTAAAGTATATCAAGTACTTATATAGCATGACTGGTTCAGGAACTGGAGCACAACAGTCTCTAAACCTAGCAATTTACATATGTGGTACATATGTAAATTGCCAATTACATGTTTACTAATCATACGCCAAATAGGCGGCGGAGGCAAAGTTACAGTCATGTGTATGCACCATGGATAACATGGATAACACCATGGGTAACATTTCTGTTAGTACAGCATTATGAATTCAATATTTACACATTTCTTGAACATTTGTAATCAAATCATTTCCGAATTCTGGAATTTCTTCACATTCAATGACAGTGAAGTCAGGTGTGTGAAGAGTTCTGGTGGGAGGTTTACCTTTGGTCAGATGTGCTTCAGCACGTGGTACAAACTCCCAGACGTACTTGTTGCTGAGCCTAAACCTAGCAGCAGTAACGTCTGGTAGTCTGCTGACTGTACTGGATAACCCAGAGATACGCGGCTCTTCCTGTATAATAACATGATGATAGATGGAATAACTAGCGTCAACTCTAATCTTAAGTCTATTAAACTGTGTTGGAGGTCTCTGTATATTACCGCCCTCAGGCTTAGAAAATAACATAAGAATCCACTCCAGAAGGCCAATTTTCCCATACGAGGCAGCTAATATTTGAACAAATCCATAAGGGCCGTGACGAGGATTCGAACCTGCGTCTGGGAGCATCCCAGACACTGCCTTAATCGACTGAGCCACGACAGGGTTAAAATAATATTTATTTCTACCCCAACTCATTCATGTCTAACCTCAAAGGCAGTCCACTAATCAACTGTCCGTAAGAGCACATGTTTTGCCTGCCTCACATGTTCTATCATGCAGGGAGCCGGTCGGCCGAGCGGATAGCACGCTGGACTTGTGATCCTGTGGTCCTGGGTTCGATCCCAGGCGCCGGCGAGAAACAATGGGCAGAGTTTCTTTCACCCTATGCCCCTGTTACCTAGCAGTAAAATAGGTACCTGGGTGTTAGTCAGCTGTCACGGGCTGCTTCCTGGGGGTGGAGGCCTGGTCGAGGACCGGGCCGCGGGGACACTAAAGCCCCGAAATCATCTCAAGATAACCTCAAGAAGATACATTCGAAGGCCAATATGGGATGAGATTCCAATCCTCTCCTCATCAGCAAAGGCCAAATGCTGGTTAGTCCAGCCGCCACAGCCCCTGTTTATGAATGAAAAACGCTCTACACACGACTTCCAACTGATGACGTTCAGGAATTTCTTACAACATCTGTTTGAATGTCAACGCTGTAATTGCTTCACCCACGTGCTTCAAATACACATATTCACCAACAGAACCGTAACACCTACGCCTAACCAAACCAAACCTAACCTAACCTAACCTAGCCTAGCCTAGCCTAGCCTAGCCTACGCCTAACTATATACAGATCTCTAATATATAACACATATATATGAAAGCAAATATATTTTCAACATACTAGATTAATATTGATGAACTTAAAATTGTTGCTCTCAGGCCAGGGCAACTTGCCCTGGCCTGAGGGCAAGTTGCGTGAAAAACGAGGGTGATGGGTTGATGAGGCCGGTTAGTGTTGATGAGGCCGGTTAGTGATGAAAAGGCCGGACTGCATAACCATGTAGAGCACTGAGGAGTCCTGTGTTGCAGATGCTGAGGGTCTGGAGGCGCCAGTAGAGGCCCTGAGTCTGACAGTCTTGTCCTCACCACCTCTAGACCAGCCTTAAAAGTCCTTTAACACCCATCTTCCCCCACTGGCTCCCATACAACACGTATATCACCTATGGAAATGTATTTTCAATCTAGTGATCATCGCCCCGCCGTAGCAACTGTACACAACTTCACTACCGTTTAGTCAGGAATTTACAGTACAAACAAGTCAACAATAATTATGAAAACAAATATAACAAATATATATTTTTATTGCTTTAAGGCTGTACAGTAAAATTGGTTAAGCATTCAATCGTTTGTTTATGTAATAAAATGAAATGAAGAATGTGAATGTGAACATTGAACTGTGTTCATGGGAAATATATATATATATATATATATATATATATATATATATATATATATATATATATATATATATATATATACTAGGAAAACTCAACCCATAAAGTAGGTTTAAACAGTTTATAGGCCTTATAATTCACTCTTATATGTCTAAATTATTAACAGCTGTCAAATATTCTATATAATCCCTGCAGAAAATTATATGACGCACACAATGGAATCACAAGAACGTGATATATCTATAATCAAATATTTAGGCTATATAATGGGATCGAACCCACGTCTGTGGACTCCCCAAGCACATGTACTACTGACTGGACCATTCATGCTAGTAATGAGTGTGCCTGGAGGAATCCAGGGACACGGGTTCGATCCCACCTCACTGCCTCAATAACTTCTCTTATTCGACGTCAAATTATTGTTATATAACTAGCAATAATGACACCGACCGAAACAAGATCAATTACACATTTAAGGCACAACGGTCACTATAAGGCGCGGAGAAAATGGCATTGTATTAATATCATGTGTGTGTTTATCATGCACACAGATATATAACACACATGTTGAACCTATACATGCAAACCACAGATAGGTATGACCGTGGTTGCTAAAGGAGGCAGCGGAAGCAATGTGTAGACCCCCTTGCTGTAGTTTTTTTTTTTCAGATATATACAAGAGTTGTTACATTCTTGTACAGCCACTAGTACGCGTAACGTTTCGGGCAAGTCCCTGGAATACGATCCCCGCCGCGAAGAATCGTTTTTTCATCCAAGTACACATTTTACTGTTGCGTTAAACAGAGGCTACAGTTAAGGAATTGCGCCCAGTAAATCCTCCCCGGCCAGGATACGAACCCATGACATAGCGCTCGCGGAACGCCAGGCGAGTGTCTTACCACTACACCACGGAGACTGTTAACTCCTGGCTGGAAATGGGTGTTTCCACACTGTTGCAAAATGGCAAATCTTGAGCCAATATCGAAGAAAAGTGAAGAGAACAGCTGAATTCTAGACGAAGAAAGGCTAATGACTCTGGAGCTCACCCACACTGGAACATGTAGAAAGAAGGTGGGGCATAGTAACGATATACAAGATCCTATGGGGGTATTGACAAAGTAGAGAAGGAAACAATGATCAAAGCTAGGAAGAGCAGAATGAGGGGGTCGAGGCGCATATGAGTCCCAGGGACATCAGAAAGAACTTTTTCAGTATTAAAGTTGTCAATATATGGAACAGGTTATAGGTAGAAGCCGTTGAAGCTAACTCGATTCAAAGATTCAAATGTACATATGATAAAAGCGTGAGAAATAAGTCATTGCATTGATCTAAGAACGTTCGGAAGGTGGGGCCAGGAGCCTAGCTTGACCCTGCAAGCACATCTAGGTGAGTACATCTGGACAAATTTAAGGAACGAACCAACAAATGGCTACTAGAGTTTAACTTCCGTAAATGTAAGGTAATGAAGCTGAGTGGAGGAAGCAGGAGGCCAGACACAAGGTACCAAATGGGATACGAAGTCCTCCATGAAACAGACAGAGAAGGATCTAGGAATTAATATCATGCCGAACCTGTATCCTGAAGGCCATATAAAAGGGGTATCATCAGCGGCGTATGCGAGGCTGGTTAACATCAGAGCTGCTTTCAGAAATTTTTGTAAGGAATCATTTAGAACCTTGTGCCCCACGTATATCAGACCGATCTTGAGATATGCGGCTTCAGCATAGAGTCTATACCTTACCAATCATGAGACGAACTTGGAGAAAGTTCAGAGGTATGCCACTAGACTAGTTCCAAAATTACGATATAAGTTATGAGGAAAGGCTACGCGAATTGCACCTCACGACGCTGGAGGTCAGAAGAGTTTGGGGAGACATGATTAACACATACAAAATTCTCAGGGAATTAACGGGGTAGATAAAAACAGATTATTTAACACAGGTGATACTTGCACAAGGGGACACAGGTGGAAACGAGTACTCGAATGAGCCACAGATACATTAGTAATATTTTGTCAGTGTCTGAATAGTTAATAAATGGAATGCATTAGGCAGTGATATGGTGGAGGCTGACTCCATACACAGTTTCATATATAAATATGATAGAACCCAGTAGGCTCAGGAATCTGTACATCGTTTGATTGACAGTTGAGGGGCGAGACCAAAGAGCCGAAGCTCAACCCCCGCAAGCACAACTAGGTTACACAGACTACCCCCCCCCCTCCCCATCTTAACAGCCAACCACATCATGATAATCATTTGATTAGATTTACAGCTGCGTCGTAAACTATGTTAAAATATATCACTTTGCACCTAAAAAATCATAATTGAATGCCAAGAAGTCCGCGAGGTACTTGCTGAAGAACTCCAGCTTGGCCTTTTGGTCGAGCTGGTTGAAGTACTTGGGGTCGTAGCGACGCGCGTGGAATGGCCGGTCTGAAGACGGGAAGCCGTCGACAACGTCCTTAACCCCCAGCCAGTCGAGGACGTAGTTGGAGTCCTCCTTGATGGTCTCGTACTTGCCGATGAAGTCGTACTCCACGCCGCACGGGTTGCAGATCTCGTGCATGGAGATCCAGTGTTCGTTCCGCTGCTCGGTGCTGCCCCATCCGGGCTCAGAGATGAAGCGGATGAACTCTGAGAACGTGATGTTGTGACCTTGGCTCATGGTCGTGTTCCTGGCGGATATAGTAAGGTGGGAGTGAGAATGGTGGAGGAGGCTTGTATAAGCAGCTTAAGGTAAGAACGACGAGGTCCAGCTAATCAGTACATTGTAAAGAATGATATAACATCTAAGTGATGCAGGCGATGAGTCACAATAACGTAGCTGAAGTATGTTGACCAGACCACACACTAGAAGGTGAAGGACTTGAAAATGGTCCAGGACGGACCGGAACGTCGCCGTTCCTTCATTTTCTAGTGTGTGGATTGGTCAACATCTAAGTGACGTACATGTAGGTCATGTGCGTCAAAGTGATGTACAATCGCGGTTGACAGACACATTTTCTTGTATATTTACCTGCTATATCTAACACGGGTCAAATAAAGGTTATATTCTCCACAATGGATCGCTCAACATATTAACTGATGACCTCAAACAATATATTAATTGATAGGTCACTCAAAACATTAACTCATGACTCAATCAACATATTAACTGATGGACCAATCAACATATTAATTGATGATTCAATCAACATTAGCTGATTAATCAATCAACACATTAATTAATGGTTCTATTAACATATAGGATTCTTATTTTCTTGCAGTTAAGCAACACTTGAGATATAATCTAAGATTGCACTATCAACAATATCGTTGGTTTTTAAGCTGCCTGCTTGCCCTTCATAATCCATCTTAATATGTTTTTTACCAAACGTAATCGGAATTAGACTAATCCGCAAAAAAATGCGACGTATCAGTCCAAATACTACGCACTTACATTGACGTTTTCTACGCATCAGCCACGATAGGTTAGGTGGGTTGTTTGGGTTTGTTGGGGTCTGGTTAGGCAAAGCAGTTGCATTTTTACAGTGTGACAGATCGAGAGAATGGTCTAGTGGAAGAGTTACCCCTCTTACACTCACAGAAAACTTGACCTGACCTTATCACAGAAAACCTGACCTGACGTTATTCTTTTAAGCGTTGCTTACCGGTATTTCTTCTCTATTTTCTTGCCTACTTGCTTGTGGAAATTGTAGGCGCTCTCCTTGTCGAAGTTCTCGAGCTTGTCCTTGTAGGCGGAGAGCACGCGGTCGAAGGGGTGCCGCACGAACATAAATTTCTTGTAGGTGTCGAGTTTGAGGCTCTTGTCCTTAGCGGAGGCGAGGAGGGGCAGTTTGGTGTGTACTGTGTACCTGTGAGAGGGAGTAGGAGAGGGGCAGGTTACGGGGTTGATTGGGGAAGGGACGTTAGGTGAGGGGGAGGTGGAAAGGAGGGAAAGAGGGAGAGGAGGAGACTTGAGGAGAGGTGAGATAGCAGGTGTGTGAAAGGGAAAGTAGACAGAGTGTGTGAAGCCGTGAATATTGTGATGCCACAAAATAATCATTAACAATTCTGCCTAAGCTGAAGCTTATCATCCGTACAGTTAGGGAATGCCCCAAACTCGACTGCAAGAGGCCAACTTCAACCTTTCTTGTGGCTACAGGAAGGGTTCAAGGTGGTCTCTGTATCACCACCTCCCCCCTCCACCGCCCCAATCACCTCTCCCCACCATAAAACTAATGACCCTATAAATCTCAAAGTCAACAACCCAAAATGTTGAAATATCGTGTCAACACAAATAGTCGCGGAGTATCAATAGTGGCACGGTCAACGACCTACATACTTAGGCTCGTTGTCAACGACCTACATCACAGCCTCGTTGTCAACGACCTACATCACAGTCTCGTTGTCAACGACCTACATCACAGGCTCGTTGTCAACGACCTACATCACAGCCTCGTTGTCAACGACCTACATCACAGTCTCGTTGTCAACGACCTACATCACAGTCTCGTTGTCAACGACCTACATCACAGCCTCGTTGTCAACGACCTACATCACAGTCTCGTTGTCAACGACCTACATCACAGTCTCGTTGTCAACGACCTACATCACAGTCTCGTTGTCAACGACCTACATCACCGTCTCGTTGTCAACGACCAACATCACAGTCTCGTTGTCAACGACCTACATCACAGTCTCGTTGTCAACGACCTACATCACAGTCTCGTTGTCAACGACCTACATCACAGTCTCGTTGTCAACGACCTACATCACAGTCTCGTTGTCAACGACCTACATCACAGCCTCGTTGTCAACGACCTACATCACAGTCTCGTTGTCAACGACCTACATCACAGTCTCGTTGTCAACGACCTACGTCACAGTCTCGTTGTCAACGACCTACATCACAGTCTCGTTGTCAACGACCTACATCACAGTCTCGTTGTCAACGACCTACATCACAGTCTCGTTGTCAACGACCTACATCATAGACTGAAAGAAAGACTCGGGCTCCTGACAAAAAGTCATTAGTGGGAACATTGCTATGAACACCTCAAGCCGTACATGTGAAATATAAATCACAAGGATTCACTCCCACTGTGCAAGTTTGGGATAATAATTCCAGGAGAGGCATTATTAGGATAATAATTCCAGGAGAGGAATTATTAGGATAATAATTCCAGGAGAGGCATTATTAGGACAATAATTACATGAGAGGAATTTTAGGGATAATATTGGCATGAGAAGGAATTATAAGGATAATAATGTCAATTAGAGAGTGAAACCTCCTCACTTTCAGTTCATATATGTGGGGTTGGGTTGTGTTCAGACACGTTATTGTGTCTTGCTCGCTGCATTCTTATCAATGGTAAATATTGACAGACTAATTTGCTCGTAATTACCATTCCTCCCGCCACTATGTCGAGCAAACTTAAAGGAACCAAACACAAGATCCTGTAGCTCAGTGGGCTAAGTCCTAGGATGACAATCGAGGGACTCTGGGTTCAATCCCCCCTGGCAGGACAGAAGCTGTTGGGCATGTTTCCTTTCATCTAATGTACCTGTTCAGCGGGCAGTAAATAGGACCCGCAGAGATGGGCAATTTATTGCATGTAGGCTACATTCTGGGAAAAGGTCAGTAGCTGGCCTATGTTCAAGAGGGATTAGGACCTCCGTATAGGCTTCCTGTCCCCAGATGATGATTCTTGGCGTCACAAGACGCTGAACCGTCTCCAGGAAGCTATACCAATCAACACCACTCTTAATGTACATGGACTTAAAACGACCAACATCTCCACTGCTGCTCAAAAATAAATTATTTTAGCGTTTTCAGCCTCAGCCGCGCATCATTGGTCACCACAACGTTTCCAATCTTATCACATCGAAGATTTACATTAACTATTATATGCACCTCATCTGTGACACGCGTCTCAACATTACCGGCACCCCAGCACACTACCACCACTCACACTGCACCACACAAGTACCATACACGCCACAAGACACACCCCACCATACACACCTCCCCATACAAGCACCATACACACCCACGAAGAGTAAAGAGAAGCTAAATCTTGTCGAGGTATTAACAATGAAACAGACGCCTGGTATGTGTATAGGACACAAGCGTGGTGTTTACAGTAATGGTTCACACCCCCGCCAACACCTGCCAACACCCGTCAACACCCGCCAACACCCGTCAACACCCGCCAACACCCGTCAACTCCCGCCAACACCAACACAACAACTAGCTCAACACTACACCAGCACAACTAACAACACACACGGTCTGTGTGCTCGGCTCACAACCTGGTTTCAATTCCCGGCCAATACGGAAACGGGTGGGCTCCTTTTCGTTCATCTGATGCCTCTGTTCACCTAGCAGTAAACTGGGTACCTGGAAACGAGGCAGAACCCTGTTGTCGGGGGGGTGGGGGGTGGGGGGTGGGGGCAGGAAGCCCACATATATATGTTAGCCTTGTATTGAGGTCCCCACTTCCCCGAACTACTGAACCTTCCCATAGGATGCAACCCCCACAACAATTACATAACTCCCAGGTACCTCACACCTACTGATAGATGAACAGAGGCATCAGGTGCCAGGAAACGTGCCCAACGGTTTCTGTCCGGCCCGGGGATCGAACCCGGGATGCAAATGCATCTACTGCACTCTTAAGAACGGACTAACGGGGTCCCACTGCACACAACTCTATCATCCTAATGTAAACTTGTTAATTGCTCTACCGTCACGAATGTATCCAGGTAAAGATGACTAACATTTTACTTGGGAATATTGTTACATTCACCTTGCCATCTTGGGTGTTTGAACAATGCTGGTGAACAAAATTAGATGTCGTCTCACAAAGGATCAAGTTTTATGAGCGGGTGAATACAGGCGTTATGCGGCTTCCCGCTCAATTTACGCCGCTCAAAAACAATTCAGTTACCAGTTAGCTTCAATTAAGGCAGACAGTTAATATTTCCTCACGCTATGAAAAATAAGAGGATAGTTATACTCACAATATATAAAAATCAGGGTCTAGTTTTATGAGCGGGTGAATACAGGCGTTATGCGGCTTCCCGCTCAATTTACGCAGTTCAAAAACAATTCAGTTACCAGTTAGCTCTAAGGCAGACAGTTAATATTTCCTCACGCTATGAAAAATAAGAGGATAGTTATAATCACAATATATAAAATATAATTTTTATCAGTAATGCACAAATACGCGGACTGCAATTCCAATCAACTTTTAAACAAGAGACCGATGTAGGGAAATGTACTGGAACTCTGGCAAGCGTTATTGACAGACACAACAAGACTCCGACATTGTTTATTCAATTCTTCACCACTCCGTAATGCCCAAGCTCACTATAACACTACAGCAAGCTTGCTATGTTGTTCTGACTCACTATGAACACGAACTGACCCACAGCCAGGTCTTAATCGTAAGTAAATGGTGATAATTTGAATTTGAATTTTTGAATAACTGTTCACTCCAACCTCATATCACTAAAATAAATCAGGGGCCAGATTCACGAAGCAGTTACGAAAGCACTTACAAACCTGTGGTCAGATTCACGAAGCAGTTACGCAAGCACTTACGAACCTGTACATCTTTTATCAATCTTTGGCGGCTTTGGTTCCAATTATTGAACAGTTAATGAGCACCGAAGCACCAGGAGGCTGTTTATAACAATAACAACAGTTTTCATGCTTGTAAACTGTTTAATTAATGTAACCAAAGCCGTCAAACATTGAGGAAAGATGTACAGGTTCGTAAGTACTTGCGTAACTGCTTCGTGAATCTGGCTCCTGGCCGGGATTCACTAACCATTTACGCAACCACGTACGGAACCCAAACATCTTCCCTCAATCATGGCGGCTAAGTTTGTAATTATTAAACAGTTTACGAGATCGCAAGTGATACGAGGTTGTTTATATCAATAATATCCTTGAGTCGAGGACGACCTCGTAACGTTTACAAGATCGAGGAGTGTTTAAAAAACACGAACTAATCCGCCATTATTAAAGAAAGATGTATGGGTTTCGCAGATGGACACGTAAATGCTTCATGAATACCTGGCTTTGTTTGGTCTACCAAAACGAATGACTTTCATTTGTATCTTTCTACCCAGTTGAGCTCGACCTATGTATACCTGGACTATACCTGGAATGGGTTCTGGCAGCCAGGCTTGACTTGAGATAACTTGGTCCAACAGACTGTTGTTTGAAGCGGCCTGCAGACCTTGTTAAAACCTGCCACATATTACCTACATTTGGGTACAATCAAATATCTTGTTTACCAAAACATAACAATACGCGTGACAATAACTTTAGAATAACAAACAGCTGTTTGGTGCAATATAGTTACTAGAACTCAAACATAGACTCATCATGATGATGATACAAAGAAAACAAATCATCATGTAGTACAGACCATAGTGAGCCAGACCTCGGGACACTCATCATGTTGATAAAGCAATACTGTATTGCTCCAAATATTTACATTACACACACTCACACGTCCGATGCACCTCTATTGTGAATTATGACTTGTATACATCTGACACCAATATATATATATATATATATATATATATATATATATATATATATAATATATATCTATATATATATATATATATATATATATATATATATTGGAAGAGAGTATATGTTCCTTAATGGAGCCCTGTTGCATAAGCAACAGGCCCTGTTGCATAAGCAACAGGCCCTGTTGCATAAGCAACAGGGCCTGTTTCATAAGCAACAAGCCCTGTTTCATAAAGCAACAAGCCCTGTTGCATAAGCAACAGGCTCCATTAAGGAACATAAATCTCTTCCCACAACCAAACCATCGCCAGAGAAATCCTAGTAAACAACACACAAATCATCGATAGATACAGCGATAGCAGGCGGCTTGACGTTTGCGAGGCACTACACATCAAGAAGTCAACACCAGCAATCAACAGCCATTTATTGCACAACTGTATTCTACCCACCTCAAGACTCCGCTCCAATATAGAAGCATCAAGAAATATGGACCAATAGGCTTTCTACAAACACTTCTATTCAATATCCATGTTTCGTGTTCTGTCTTGTGTTGATGAAATTAATACCCTATTAATACTCTTGTTCTGTCTTGTGTTGATGAAATTAATACCCTATTATACCACATTTTGTTCTGTCTTGTGTTAATGCCACATCACCCCTTCCACCTCACTCAAATGTAGATATAAAATCGGAGATACGTAAGTTCTATTCAGTTGTGTATTTGTGAACTAAAGTCTTTTGAAAATGTAATAAGTTTTACGAAACGCGCCCGTGTCGCGTCAGACTAGAAATAAAAATGAATTTTGGAGAATTGATTTTTGATTTACCTCCAACAGTGAAGCGTAATGTACGAAAGATTGAGAAAATTCGTGTTAGAATTATTAATCTTACTTTTTCGGTCATATTTTAATAATATATATATATATATATATATATATATATATATATATATATATATATATATATATATATATATATATATTCCACGAAGATATCTTCACGAAGTGTCTGAAGGGTTTGCCTGTGGCAGCTAACTGATTCTGTAACCTCCCCCCCCCCACCTTCACAAATATTATGGAGCGATATCTTACCTTCATTGGTTCCAGGGCTCACTGTCCCTGCGGACCGGTCTCTCGGTGCCACACTTATATTTTAGCTCTTACCTTCATTCTGAAGTTGTTTTCAAAAATATATATATACCTGTAGGAGAGTACACAAATGGGAAAGTACCTTTATGCTAATCTGTACTTACCAACGAGTCATATATATATATATATATTTTAATCCCATTAGAAGTGGATCTCTATCAATGAGAAGCACATTACTCCCTCTACTAAAACAAAGGCGGGGGAATTAAATAAGAGGTTTACATAGATGGAACAAAACACATAGATGGAAGAGGCCATTTAGAGATATTTGACTGGGAAAAGCATGAGAACACACGGAGGAGAGACCACTGTTCTCACCTGGCTATGGTAGAGAGGTTGGTCTCAGGGGTTACTATCCCTGTGAGCTTCATCCACACTCTCTTCCAGCTGGTACACGCCACCTGTGAGCAGGGAGAGACGGTGAGTGAGAGGGTGTACTGGAGGGGCAAGGGAGTGTGATAGTGGGATGAGGGGAACTGGTAGAAGTGAGTGTGCTAAAAGATGGAGGAAGTGTTCGCTAATCATGGCATACAGCTAGCAAGAAAGGACAGGTAGAATACAGTCCTTTCTAGGTAGAAAGGACAGGTAGAATACAGTCTAGAATAGAATACAGACGTAGCTTGATAAAACGTCAGAAAGATTACTCAGAGAGTGAGGTTCTTCCCCCTACCCATCTCTAGCCAAGGTAAGTGAGATGCTCCCACCCACCCCCTCTTATTCCTAGCAAAATTAAGTGACATGTCACCTCTCTCAGCAAAATCAAGTATCCAGCCTTCCTCATCTAGCAAAATTATGGTGTCCCCTATTTTTGTGGTTTGGTTAAACGAGATTCCTTTATTTATACCCAAGCCATGCAAGGTACCTCTTATCCCGAGTCAAGCCATGCTAGGTACCCACCCCCCCCCCCCTTATCCTTATCCAAGTCATGAGAGGGAACCCCTTACCCCCTACCCATGCCTAGATATAATAAGGGGTGTCTCATGGGTTTAAATCTTACAATTACTTTAAGCCTTGATTGACACCAATGACAGGTATTGCTCAGACCTAAACAATTGTCCGAGGGGCCCTAAACTAGCGAACAATGGAGTGCCAATCCTTCGTCGGAGGCTGTAAGCTGACTTCGACAACTTTGTCACTTCGTATAATAATATTGATATGAGACTTAAGACTGCTATGCAACAGTCAAGGGACAACAGCTTCAAAGACACAACGTTCAACAGTTAAAGACAGAAAGCGGGAGATGCGTTTTTCTCCCCCATTGGGTTATTATGTAAACCTTTGTAAACCGCCTTAAATGCCAAGACATTACTTCAGTTCCAAATCCAGTTGGAAAAAGTCCCCCAGGAGTACTAAGGGAACCTCTGACATGCCGACGGCTTCCTGTTCCCGTCGATACGTATGGGTGTACATACAAGCATTTGTATAGTACTGGGCACCACCACTCATACTGTGAGTATACATACAGCCATACATATAGTACTGGACACCACCACTCATACTGTGAGTGTACATACAGCCATACATATAGTACTGGGCACCACCACTCATACTGTGAGTATACATACAGCCATACATATAGTACTGGGCACCACCATTCATACTGTGAGTATACATACAGCCATACATATAATACTGGACACCACCAGTCATACTGTGAGTATACATACAGCCATACATATAGTACTAGACACCACCAGTCATACTGTGAGTGTACATACAGCCATACATATAGTACTGGACACCACCAGTCATACTGTGAGTATACATACAGCCATACATATAGTACTAGACACCACCAGTCATACTGTGAGTGTACATACAGCCATACATATAATACTGGACACCACCAGTCATACTGTGAGTATACATACATCCATACATATAGTACTGGACACCACCAGTCATACTGTGAGTGAACCTGATGTAAGTACACAGTAGAAAATGTGAAGCAGTCGCGTCACCGCCTCCAGAGTCAACAGTGAAGTACCTTCGAGGCGTCTGACCTTGGGGATGAAGCAGTAGATGATCTTGCGGTCGTCGTCGTAGTGCATGTGGGCCATCATGAAGGAGTTCACGGGCAGGGAGATGTTGAGGGTCCTACAGGCGTCCTTCACGTGGGTCTTGAGGACCTCGCTCCTCTCCTTGGGCGTCGGTACTGCGAACGGAACACCAAGATGGTCACCCTCTGTGACCGTCCTGGGAGGGAGCCGGTCGGCCGAGCGGACAGCACGCTGGACTTGTGATCCTGTGGTCCTGGGTTCGATTCCAGGCGCCGGGGAGAAGCAATGGGCAGAGTTTCTTTCACCCTATGGCCCTGCTACCTAGCAGTAAAATAGGTACCTAGGTGTTAGTCAGCTGTCACGGTACCTATTTACTGCTAGGTAACAGGGGCATCAGGGGTGAAAGAAACTCTGCCTATCGTTTCTCGCCGGCGCCCGGGATCGAACCCGGGACCACAGGATCACGCGTCCAGTGTTCTGTCCTAATGTAGCATTAAGTGTGAGGACAGGATGAACCAAAACCGAGCTATTAAGTAGTCGTAATAAGAAAAATTTTGAGGAACTTTCAAACAAGATTGAGGTACAATATATAGTAAAGATTAGGGTCAAAAAGGGCAGCTTACTTGGTTAAGTAAGTGTAATGGTCCAACACTTTGAATATATAAGTGACTGTTACTATGGAGACGAAGTAGCCAACATATTGTTACCTAATCTTACGCGTCATGTTATTAATTATCGTAAAATACAATATAACCCGCCATGAAGTTTCGGAAAAAATCATTATCCCAAAATACCTTGAACTGGAATAGTAAATTTATATTGCTGTAGCAGGTGATTATATAATGGTGTAGAGCCAAGAGATGCCAAGAGTCAGGAAGCATTGTGACACTTGATTTACAGCCCACAGTTTGTATACCTCTACTGCCCCTGGGTGTTTCTTACCTGTAATCTCCGCACCTGAGGCGTACAGGCGAAGGTACTCCAGCTGCTCCCTCGAAAACCTTACGGCTCTCAGCCCTGAAAAGGGACCAAAACTGTGTGTGTGAGAGAGAGAGAGAGAGAGAGAGAGAGAGAGAGAGAGAGAGAGAGAGAGAGAGAGAGAGAGAGAGAGAGAGAGAGAGGGAGAAAGAGAGAGAGAGAGAGAGAGAGAGAGAGAGAGAGAGAGAGAGAGAGAGAGAGAGATAGAGAGAGAGAGAGAGAGAGAGAGAGAGAGAGAGAGAGAGAGAGAGAGAGAGAGAGAGAGAGAGAGAGAGAGAGAGAGAGAGAGAGAGAGAGAAGAGAGAGAGAGAGAGAGAGAGAGAGAGAGAGAGAGAGAGAAGAGAGAGGAGAGAGAGAGAGATGAGAGGAGAGAGAGAGAGAGAGAGAGAGAGAGAAGCGCTACGAGGTCATCTCCAACAATAACATCCTCGCAGTTTCCGAGCTCGTAAACTGTTTAATAAATACACACTAAGCCGCCATGACCGAGGAAAGATGTACAGGTTTCGCAAGTGAGCACCCGAAAGGGCACCCATCCTGGCCAATCACTAAGGAAACGTGTCATCAACCAGCAGCACCAGAGGTCTCCCCCTGTGCTCGTCCAAGCAGCGGCCGACCCCCAATGATAACAAAACATTATTTTTATTGACTATAAATTAATACTCATGTATATTATAATTTTGTGCATAGTAATGTCTAAAATATGTTAGGTGATTTATTTCTCGAGACAATCTTATACATTTGCACTACAGTGGTGAAGCATTGAGAGATTAGCCATTCGAACACTGGAAGACAGAGGGCCGCTGTTCAATAAGAGTTTGAACGTGAACTGTTCGTTTTCGTTCATAAAAAGGGAGTTTGGTAATTGAATTAACTAGCATACCAGCCCGTCCTCACACTCATAATTTATAAACCCTGTGTTTATGAGTGTAAACTGTACCCCCATGACTCACAACTAATGAGGCTCGAATATTTCTCGAACAGCGCTCCACTTTCTTCCTATGTTCGAATTGCATCTCTCTCTTAAGTGCTTCACCCATCTACTGGAAATTAACAAAAAAATTACCAATAGTACCTAAACCCCACCTAACCTAACCTAACCTAACCTAACCTAACCTAACCTGACCTAACCTGACCTGACCTGACCTAACCTGACCTGACCTAACCTAACCTAACCTGACCTAACCTGACCTAACCTAACCTGACCTGACCTAACCTGACCTGACCTAACCTAACCTGACCTAACCTGACCTAACCTGACCCAACCTAACCTGACCTAACCTAACCTGACCTAACCTAACCTGACCTAACCTAACCTAACCTAACCTGACCTGACCTGACCTAACCTAACCTAACCTAACCTGACCTAACCTAACCTGACCTGACCTAACCTAACCTGACCTAACCTGACCCAACCTAACCTGACCTAACCTAACCTGACCTAACCTAACCTGACCTAACCTAACCTGACCTGACCTGACCTGACCTGACCTAACCTGACCTAACCTAACCTGACCTAACCTAACCTGACCTGACCTGACCTGACCTAACCTGACCTGACCTAACCCAACCTAACCTAACCTAACCTAACCTGACCTGACCTAACCTAACCTAACCTAACTCACCATACACCTTAGTCATCAATCATTACATAACTACACTGTCGGTTATGTATGAAAGGCACGCACATAATTACTGAGAGAAGTGAAGATTTAGCATGAAGGTGACTGCTTCAATGAGACCGCCTGTCACCATTAAGATACCCTGACAGGTGTGTACCACACGATACACATATACACCAACACATGTGTAGCTCATTGACCGTATGTCATGTCTGTAACACGTGTCTGTATGACCGTTGACAAGTCTGCGACACCCGTCTGTGCATATGGCTGTTTGTGTGCATTTAAGAATACACATAAATGTACTTAAGAATACACATGTATGACCAACTCACCGTATGACTCATAAGGGAAGACGATATACGAAGCCAACAGCATCGTGATGAATACTGCCAGGATGACCAATGTTTGTTTCATCGACCTCCATCCCAACATCATCCTCCACCTCCTGTGGGTACAAGGATCTTAAGCATCCTGTAGGTACCTGTGCATCTAAACATCATCCTCCACCTCCTGTGGGTACAAGCATCTTAAGCATCCTGTAGGTACCTGTGCATCTAAACATCATCCTCCACCTCCTGTGGGTACAAGGATCTTAAGCATCCTGTAGGTACCTGTGCATCTAAACATCCTCCACCTCCTGTGGGTACAAGCATCTTAAGCATCCTGTAGGTACCTGTGCATCTAAACATCATCCTCCACCTCCTGTGGGTACAAGCATCTTAAGCATCCTGTAGGTACCTGTGCATCTAAACATCATCCTCCACCTCCTGTGGGTACAAGCATCTTAAGCATCCTGTAGGTACCTGTGCATCTAAACATCATCCTCCACCTCCTGTGGGTACAAGCATCTTAAGCATCCTGTAGGTACCTGTGCATCTAAACATCATCCTCCACCTCCCGTGGGTACAAGGATCTTAAGCATCCTGTAGGTACCTGTGCATCTTCGTGGTGCTGTGCGTGACAAAGGTGCACAGGTACCTGAACGCTATCATTACTATCATGCACAGGTGAACTTTATCACAGTAAACATGCACATGTATCTGAATTATAACTGCAAACATGTATAAAAACCGTAAGCGTATCAAACACTTGCTTAAACATTGAGATACTTGACGCTCTACATGTGTTTACTCAGGTGTGGAATCGCTGTAAATTGCTCCTTCTCTAGATACAGGTGTTTCCCCACTCTCAGTTATGGTTATGGTGAAATTGAGTGTGTGTGTGTGTGTGTGTGTGTGTGTGTGTGTGTGTGTGTGTGTGTGTGTGTGTGTGTGTGTGTGTGTGTGTACTCAACTATTTGTGCCTGCAGGATCGAGCATTGACTCTTGGATTACGCCTTTCTAGCCATCGGTTGTTTACAGCAATGACTCCGGTCCTATTTCCCAATCATATCTAGTTTTAAAATTATGAATAGAGTTCGCTTCCACAACCTGTTCCCCAAGTGCATTCCATTTTTCCACTACTCTCACGCTAAAAGAAAACTTCCTAACATCTCTGTGACTCATCTGAGTTTCCAGCATCCACTAATGTCCCCTCGTTATGCTAGTATTCAGTGTGAACATTTCGTCTATGTCCACTCTGTCAATCCCCCTGAGTATTTTATATGTTCCTATCATATCTCCCCTCTCCCTTTTTTCTACTGTCGTAAGGTTTAGTTCCTTCAGGCGCTCTTCATACCCCATCCCTCGTAACTCTGGGACAAGCCTCGTCGCAAACCTCTGAACCTTTTCCAGTTTCCTTATGTGTTTCTTCAGGTGGGGACTCCATGATAGCGCAGCATACTCTAAGACTGGTCTCACTTAGGCAGTGTAAAGCGCGCTAAAAGCCTCCTCACCTAGGATTCTAAATGATGTTCTAACTTTTGCAAGTTTGCCCATTTCCATAACTTTACATTTGCTTGTGTTGAACTCCAGTAGCCATTTCTCTGACCATCTCTGCAACTTGTTCAAATCCTCTTGGAGGATCCTACAATCCTCATCTGTCACAACTCTTCTCATTAATTTTGCGTCATCCACGAACATCGACATGTAGGATTCTACTTCTGTAAACATGTCATTTACGTATATTAGAAATATAACTGGTCCCAGTACCGATCCTTGAGGTACTCCACTCGTTACTGTTCGCCAGTCCGACTTCTCGCCCCTTACCGTTACTCTCTGGCTCCTTCCTGTTGGGTTGCTCCTTACCCATGCTAGGGCCTTTCCGCTTACTCCTGCCTGCCTCTCAAGTTTGAATAGCAGTCTCATGTGCGGTACTGTATCAAAGGCCTTTTGGCAGACCAAAAATATGCAGCCTGCCCAACCTTCTCTGTCCTGCCGTATCCTTGTTAAGTTATCATAGAATTCCAGAAGATTGTTACAGATTGTGAGTGATTATAAAGCAGATTATAATGCTACCGAATGCATTATAATTATCCAACAATCAGAAATGTGTATGAGAATGAGAGAGAGAGAGAGAGAGAGAGAGAGAGAGAGAGAGAGAGAGAGAGAGAGAGAGAGAGAGAGAGAGAGAGAGAGAGAGAGAGAGAGAGAGAGAGAGAGAGAGAGAGAGAGAGAAGAGAGAGAGAGAGAGAGAGAGAGAGAGAGAGAGAGAGAGAGAGAGAGAGAGAGAGAGAGAGAGAGAGAGAGAGAGAGAGAGAGAGAGAGAGAGAGAGAGAGAGAGAGAAAATTTAATTTAATAATGTGACTGGGACAGAAATACTCAGAACACAAAAGCGGGTGAGATAGAGAGTCAAAGAACAGTAGACAGGGTCGGGACAGATATAGATAACACGTGTGTGTGTGTGTGAAAAGCCCCTAACACCCCACAGGTGTCTGACTATGATGTGTGGATGGTGTGTGACTGGAGTACATGCATGTACCCAGACACCAGACAAGTAGCGCCCACGTACTGCTGGTTGAAACATTGGTGGTGGTGGAGATTGTGGTGGGGGGTTGTGGTGGGGGGTTGTGGTGGGGGGGTTGTGGTGGGGGGGTTGTGGTGGGGGGGTTGTGGTGGGGGGGTTGTGGGGGGGGGTTGTGGTGAGTAGTAGGGAAGGCGCCTCACAGGTACCTTTTTTTCTGGGAGAAAAAGGTACCTGTGCGCCCCAAGGGTTTCAGGTAAATTTAGAATATCCCCTGTGCGCCCCAAGGGTTTCAGGTAAATTTAGAATATCCCCTGTGCGCCCCAAGGGTTTCAGGTCCAAAGGGAAAAAAAGTGCCTGTGCGCCCTTCAGGTAAATTTTGTCAGTCACAGATTTTAGAAGTAAGGATTTCTTATGAGAAAAATAATTTCCGAGACTTAGAAGTTTGTTAAGGCCTTATGGGACAAATTCAAGTAACGTATGTAGCTCTTTAGGGCTTCCAGGAGAACTCTACGGACATATTTTACATGTTTTCAACTTACAAAATCGTCTATGTAAGCCTTAGTTATTCATATAAATTTAGAAAATCACCTGTGTAAGCCATGGTTTTCAGGGTTTCGTACCTCACACCCCCCTCCCTCCCCCCTTACCTCGCAATCTGTCGCGTCACCTTTATTTACTTTACGCCCGGCCGCCAGACCTCTTATCTTATCTTATCTTCTCCATAATAATATCTGGACCGTCCCTCTCTCTCTCTCTCTCCTCCTATTTCCTTACAACTATTTTCAGAGTTTCAAATAATCATAGAAGTTTATTTATATGTTTATGACCGAATTTGTAAAAGGACCATTTTCAGAGAATATTGTCTTAGATGCTTTGTTAAGGAAAACAGACAACTTATCCATAACATTTAGTTTTATATCCATTTACGGCTATTTCATCTGTAAAGACCAAAATTGAACAGAGCCCAGTTTTAAGCTCATATTTCATCAGAGTCCAGTTTATACCGAAAATTCGCCAGAGTCTACAGAGCAAAATTAGTCAGAGACAGTATTTAGCTCATATTTCATCAGAGTCCTGTAATCTGCGAAAATTTGACAGAGTCCATTTTATACCCAATTTTCGTCAGAGTCTACTTTGTGAGCAAAATTAGTCAGAGACAGTATTTAGCTCATATTTCATCAGAGTCCAATTATCAACAGAAATTCGTCAGAGACTACTTTGTGAGCAAAATTAGTCAGAGACAGTATTCAGCTCATATTTCATCAGAGTCCAATTATCAACAGAAATTCGCCAGAGTCTACTTTGAGAGCAAATTTCATCAGCTCATATTTCATCAGTCCTGTAATCTGTGGAAATTTGACAGAGTCCATTTTATACCCAATTTTCGTCAGAGACCATTTTATACCTAAAAATGAACAGAGTCTACTTTAATAGCAAAATTCATCAGAGTCCAGTTTTCTAGCAAATTTCATCAGTGTCCTGTAATCTGTGAAAATTTGACAGAGTCCAGTTCTTGATCGAAATTCATCAGAGTCCAGTTTTCTAGCAAATTCGTCAGAGTCTACTTTCTGTGCAAAATTTGACAGAGTCCAGTTCTTGATCGAAATTCATCAGAGTCCAGTTTTCTAGCAAAATTCGCCAGAGTCTACTTTGTGCCAAAATATTCAGAGTCCAGTTCATGATCGAAATTAATCAGAGTCCAATTAAAGACCCAAATTTGACAGAGACCACATTTTCGCTACTAACAGTCCAATCCCCCTGAAATTTTAAACAGTCATATTTCAGACGTAGTAAATAAGATCAAGTCAGTTACAGAGCTCCAGCTCTTGTCCCCCTGTATTTGCATATTTTCTCTATATTCAGCTGTGTTCTTCACATTTTTTCCATGTTTTCTGTGTTCATTCCATGTTCTATAAATGTTCACAGCAAGCTCAGTTCAAATTTTTTCTGCCATTTTCCCCGTATGTTCACTATGTTCTTTGTCATATTTTCATGTGCATCATATGTTCTCTGTATAACTTTTTATACTCAATATTCATGTTCTCAATGTTCTTAGCTTGTTCTTCACACGTTCAGTGTTCATTCTTTGTATTCCCTATGTTCCTTATCATGTCTTCATATTCTCTATAAGTTCTTATTCCCTGCATGTTCACTCTATTCATCAACTTTTTCTTACGTGTTTTCTGTGTTCACCGTATGTTCACTGTGTTCATTCCCTTACTTAACCTCAATTTTTTTATGTTCTTTGTTTCTTCCATTCACTAACTAGTTCTTTGTCAAATATTAGCATCAGCAATACAGTTTCCTCAACAATTTTAGTCACCAAGTTTTTATTTGCAAAAACTATGTCAAAGTAATTCTCGTAGTCAACTTAATAGTTCTACCAGCCATGTTCTTAAACAAATCTACACTTTATTCAGTTCCAAATTTACAAAGACAAACCTTTCTTGTAACTTCTTAACTAAAAATCTTTCGCCAATCAACTGAAACATAGTCACTTTCCTCATTTCTCAACTAACTTATTATCCAATCAACCAAAAAATTGTCAAAGGAATCTTTCCAACACTGTTCATAACTAAACTTATTCCCTAGTCATCAGA